TTGGTGCATGATATATCCACAGTTACCATGCTTTAAAGTGGCTCTTTTCAAAGCATGGATGGTAAATATAAAGTGTTTTTGCTGACATGACAACACGGGGTTTGTTTTTAGTACTAAGAGTTCACTGGCATTAGAGAGTATTTCAAGCTTGGCTTAACAAGTTTAACTTTCATTGCTTACTAAATGTATAATTAAGTTACAACATCTTCTCATCTGTTTTGAACTTAAATTATCACTGGTTTTAACTTTCCTATCACACATGACTTTTTCAGGATTGCAGGATGTGTGAAAATGGTTTACTGTAGCCATATGCTTCTTGGCTCAGAACTCCAGGATGTTTCAGTAGGTTTGAAGCATGGGTGGTTGTGTGATGTGTGGTTTTTCTTTTACAAAAGCTGTGTTGATTCTTGCCTAGACTACTCTATCTCCTCATGTTTCCAGAAATTCTTCTGCAGAATATTTTCTAGTGGTTGCATTGGAAAGGGATCACGTTTGCAGGAGGGTGGCTCCACCAGATGTCTCCTTGATCCCTGACTTGCATCTGGCCTGTGCTGTTTCCAGGTGTCCAGCAAGTCTACCTAGTTTGATACCTGAGGATTGAATCACTTTATTGTGAGTTTGCTGTCCTGGCTGGGTGTGTTTGCTGTGAAGAGATGGCTGTTATCTGTGGGAGGGACATAGCTAAGAAGCCACTGTCCCTTTATCAGCTCCCTGGCCTCCTCCTTAGATGCTTCTAGGTCAGCAGGCCCACTCTACCATTTCTCTACAGATCCTCGTGATAAATATATTTGTTAGATCAAAGTGAAAAAACCAAAACAAGAGCTGCCTGCACCGTGTGTCTGTGTGCACCATCCTCTGTAGTATAATTGACTGTGTGACAGTGCAGTAAGCTGGGTACCACCTGCAGTTTGGCTTCTGACTTCTGTCTACCCTCTCTTTCATAGGATTGTAACTGCTTTCAGTAACATCTTTTACTAATTGACTTGTTTGAGGCTTTTTCAATCTTCCTGAATTTAGGAAGAGAACATCTACTGGGTTCTTCCCATCCATAAGCCAATTGCTTTTTTATTTTGCTGTTTTGATCCATGTTGGTTCTCGATGGCTTTTGCCTGAGCAGGCCCAGAGTTTGTTGTCTTCAGTGTCTGAAGATTATCCATAGTTAGTATTTGAGATATGTCTGGTTCTTGCTTTTCAACAAGTTAACTATTATTCTTGCCTTAAAAGAATATTGGAAATGTCTGCCATCGTCCCCATAAGAATAGTGAAAATTTCTGATGTTATCCCATCTTCTGCTCTCAGGAGGGATTAAATTCTGGGAATTAAGGCACTTGAGCAGTTGACTTCATACTCTTTCATTTACATGATTTCTGCAAGGAAGCAAAGGAATCTTAATGCTGGAGATCTAAAACAATTCCTGCAGAGTTTTCCCAAGACCTTGACTTTCACAGAGCTGTAGAACATTTTGGGTTGGAAGGGACCTTAAAGGTCATCTCATTTCAACCTCCTGTCGTGGGAAGGGATACCTTCTACTAGACCAGGTTGCTCCAAGCCTCATCCAACCTGTGCTTGAGCACTTCCAGGGACAGGTCATTCTCAGCTTCTTGGGGCAACCAGCCTCACCATTCTCATCTGTATCAGTTGATCAGGATACTTAGTTTGCCTCTCAAAATCCCATGGTGTGACTTATTTTTCCTTGGGATGTGATGCAGTAAGACCAAATCAAGTGTGTTTTGTATACCCAGCTGGAAGGGGCTCCGAGTCACTGAGGGAGTGGCTGTAACTGCACCCCCAGCAGTGTGCTGTGCACTGGGTGGTGATGCCTGACTCTGGTTCAGTCACCATTTCCTGTTCCTTTGGCTCCCAGCACGATGATGGTCCATTTCTGCTGCTAAAGCACCAGCACCTGGTGGCCCTTTGGGGCTGGGTCATGGTGGTGGGCTGCTCACCTTGCTGTATCGTTTTGACCTAGTTTTATACTGTTGCCAAAGCAGAGAGATTTAGAGAAGGATGGATGACTGCCATGGTTTTCTTCAGTGAGCTGAGATCTGGTGGATGGGAAAAGGCACTTTTAAACACAACAGTGTTGACAACTTCAGTTTGTTTGGTGGTGACAGGACTTCGCACAAACCTTTGAATTTTTCTGTGGAGTTCATAACACTAATGCAGTGTGATTTGTGGCTGTTGTTTGTGGTTGTATGGAATAAAATGCTTTTTCTGTTCAGGTTTTCTTATATGTGGTACTTGCTCAAAAGTCTGCTTTCCCAGGGAGGTAGGAAGTGGTGTTCGTACTCTGGAATGTGAGTGTTAGTGCGTGAAGGAGTTTGGAGAACTCAGAGAACTGTAAAGGGAGGCAATATATTCCCACTGAGGTTGCTAAACAGCAAAAGCTTCTGTGAGCCCAGAGGCACGCACATTTTCTGTAAAGGCTGTTTTTAATCCTTCCATTTGGAGATGTATGAGGAGTCCTTCTCTCTTGCTAATCAGGGGAACGTCCTTGCCATCAGCTTTCTCTCCTAAAATGCCTTGACTAGCATGTGGTGCTGGTCTAGGCTGCTCTCTTCCTTCCCCTTGCCCTGAGGGTCTTCTGAGCATCCGTGTTCCACAAGCTCACCATATGGGACTGACACAATGCAGCTTTTCTTGCTCTTCAACTTCCCTAAGTGATAATTTGAAACTCACTTTTTTTCATGACTCTTACTGCTTATAGTTCTGAAACTGCTCATTTGGAAGGTTTCTTGGGTGGATGTTGTGGACAGAGGGCCACAGGCAGAACATGTGTTGGTTGCACTGGGGTATTTTTCTTCCCTTTCCTCAAACTCAGCCCTTCAGTTTAACAGACAGAAATGGAAAGGATTGTTTTTCTTGTGTTGTTTCACTGAAATAGGGAGAAGCAGGTCAGCATTGCATGGACCCACCTCTCCAACACTTCAAGTGATAAGAAGGAAGAAGGATCACAGCTCTTAGCTAGCAGGGGGTCATCTTGTTCCATATTGAAAGGATTGTTGGCTAGATAATACACTTTACATGTTTAAGTACTGAGCTGTGAGTGAATGCAGTACTAAAGCTTAGTTAAGGTCCTAGTTAAGTTTTATTGGTCTTCTCAGAAGAATAAGGCTAGATTTTGTTTCACAGAGCTGAGTTTTGCTACAGAGCATAGGGAAGTCTGGTATTTCAATGTGTAACATTTTATTGTTGTGTATTTCAAGAAAAGCTTGTTTAATCCTCTCAAGTCAGTGAGAACAGGTATCTTATCTTTTTGGGCTCATCTTTCCAGAAAAACCCCAAAGGTTTAATCTTTGGTGGATCTGAAGCAAAGGTTACCAGGTTGGAGGGTGCAAAAATAATTGAAGTGACCCTGAAGAGTTTTGTGGGAGTGCTCTCTGACCCTTACAAATTCTCCTGCCTGCAAATGTGTGAGGAAGTCCTGTCCTCTATAGCAGAATTCCAGTGCTAGCCTATATATTTTTATAAAGAAACTGTCCTTGACTAAAAGGCTGAGACAGCAGTTTCAGTGGGGGGTACTTGGCCTCCCAGCTTTTGAAAGTAGTCTAAAACCTTCATCTGTTGCTGAAGGGTGTGGGATGAGTGCCGAAAATTAAAGAAAGTACACTTTGTAAGTCACAGTAGTGTTGGTCTTAGAGGCTGCTGTAAAATAAAGCAATTTGGGTGGCATCTTACTTTTCAGTTGAAAGAATCAGCTCTGCAGTTTGAGGATAACTAACAGACATCTGCTAGTCTTTTAAAAACAGTTGATATCCAAATTTTCAGATTTATAATTACTTTGGGAGATAGAGTTTTAGATCATGTCAGTCTGACCAAACTGCAATTAATTACTGTAATCCTTCAGGTACCATTTTTTATGTTCAAAGCGGAGAGGTGATTTCTGCCACTTACTGCTATGAAAAATAAAAGTGCTTTAGTTAATAATGGCTGTAATTAAGAGCTTGGAAATGTTTTCCAGGCTTGCTTTTTTCCTCATAAACTTGTATTCATGTTCCCCAAAGCACCAATGGTACAAGTGTTGGTGTAGCAGATTGTGCAGCAGCAAATGTTGCACTGAAAAGCTGTGCTTGCTTCCAGAACTGCTGAAATGCTGGTTCTCTGATGTCAGATCCCTGAGCTCTAACATCTTAGTGTCAATGATGTGTTTAAGCTTAGAGTGGTTTTGTGTCTTGTGGCTCTTAAAGCGTGTCTGGCATCTTAAGTATCAGTAGAAGCAAAGACTTTGTGAGTCAGGGTTGACTTTCCTGTGGGTGTGACAGCCAGGTGATTTTGTCCTGTCTTTGTGCTGTTCTGCTGTGGAGAGGAGATAGGAGTTTGTATGATTAACTTTTTTCAAGCGACTCTTCATTGTGAGAGCTACTCAGGCTGAAAGGAGAATGGGATGGTTTGCACTCAGAGTTCTTTCCAAAGGAACTCCCCAGGAGAATATAGTGAATATTTTGAAATGATGTATGAATATTGGATGTCACCAGTTTCTCACAGTTGAAAGTATAAATCTTGGGGCTGCTTTGAACCAGCTCTTTTATGTACGACTGAAAGAAAAGATGTTACTTCTCAAATGGGGCATATGAACATTTCAGTCTGGGGGAGGGGGGCAAGTCCTACCATTCTCCTTCAGTTGTGTGCACCAAACTAATTTTTCTCTAAAATCCTGCTCCTACTTCTTTCCCTCAGGTGCTTTTTTGCCTTCTTAGTTTGGGCAATTGTGGCAGATGCCAGTACATTCATTATGTTTTTGTAGTGTCTACATAAATGCTGCTACTCTTGTGCTTTTGTTCTGTTAATACACCGTAGTGTCTAAGGTACCTGTTCGTTTTTTGGTAATTAGGTATCATCACTCTTGTGATTCAGATTTTAAAATTTCGTGTCAATTATGTCAAGTTGTTTATTGCAGTGGAAAAGAGCTGACAGTATTTTAGTTTCAAAAGTTTAGACTCTTCTCTGTTAAATGCATCACATTGGTAGTAAATTGACACTCCTTTTCTTTCTCTTTTCAGCCAGATAATGAAATCTCTTCAGACTGCAATCATGTAAGTATTGCTGTGTTTATTCACTCTCTAGCTATGGCATTTGCACCTCCTATCCGTTGTGAACCTGAGGTATTTTGCATCATTTGGTACTTTGCAAAGGCTATTAATCACAACACATTTGGGTTTCTGTACTGACCTTTGAAGGAAGAACACAAGGTGACTTCTTTATCCCAGTATAACCACATTGGTCTTAATGGAGACTTCAGAGTGGAACATTTTTAAGAGCTTTATAAACTGTACTTCTGTATCAGGGGAGGATAGCAGACGTCTTTCCTGTTTTATAATTGGGGGGTGGATCCCGTGAGTTACTGGGAGCAATGTGATGTGCTCCTTTTAGGAAAGATGTGAGCAGTACTGAATTTAAACTCTTAATTTCAGCTGTTGACACCTTCTGTATTACTTTCACAGCTGCTAAATTCTTAGACTAGTTGGAAAATGCTGTGGGGGTGTGATATTTAGAGGCAGTTTGAGACACTTGGCTGGTTTTAGAACAGATTTCCTCTCAGTACTGTGTTTAACAGTGAGCAAACTATTAGCCAGTTTTTGAGCTGTCAAGCTGACACTTCAAATCCCAAGACTCTCAAAAAAAAAAGATAAAATTCATTGCTGAGGTTGGTATTAGGTTTCTTTTGGTTTTTCTCGTTTCTATTCTGGCAGTGTACACCATATCAAGATCCTTAATTGCTTGGTTAGCCCTGAACACAGACAGACAAGTGCATGCCTCAGTGACAGTCTTGATTTTGGATGCTGGAGAAGCATGTATTTTGTTTTATTATTGGAAGATATATTCCAGAGATGAAGCCCAGTCATGCTGTACAACCAGTAATTTCCAACTGTGTTTATAAATTAACCTTTAGCACTGCCTGACTTCGTTGGCAGCTGTAATTCTCTGTTGTGCAGGGTTGGATCAGATGAAGGGCACAACATGTTTCTGTTTAAGTCTTTTTGAAAAAGAGAAAACTCCAGTAATTAAAATGTATCTGCCTGACATTTAAATGTGCCGGCTAAAATTACCTGAATGAAGAAGAAATTGAGAATTTTAGAAGTCAAAGTTGGATCTTTCTTTTGCTAGATTAAGTGATGGCATCTCTGCTTCAAATGTTGTGTGGATGTGGATTGTGGAAGCCATTCACAAATAGGAACTGTAGGCTAAGTCTCATTTTCTCAGGTGGAAATTTAAGGGAGGTGATAAAAAACTAGACCACAGAGAGATTGTCTCTTGTCCAAATGTTTTCTTTGCCTCTCTCTGCAGTACAATTGCTGATCATCCCCTGGAAAATACAGCCTAGTGCTAAAATCAGGAGTTCTAAGCTGCAAGTTTAACCTTCTTTCTGTTCGTGGGAAGGTTCATTTGGAGAGCATCACATTTTGAGACTCTCCAAAATGTGAGAGTACAAATGCAGAGATGTATTCTCATCTTGTGTCCTCATTCTTGTACTTCCAGTTCTGTCTGGGAGAGACCTACAGTGCTCTTTGCAAGGACAGGTTCCCCGTTCATTCATTTTTACCTACTAAACCTCATGTTTACAATTTACTCCATCTGTAACACCCTGGTTTACCATCACCTCCTTTTTTAACTTTCCACAGCTCCAAAACCATAAGAGGTGTGGAAGGTGGTGCAGTTATGCTGATTCTGATTTTGGTTCTCTCTCCGTGCTTTCACCTTTCTGGAGTGGGTGTAAAACTTGTGTAGAGCATGTGATTGTTTTCCCACTGTTTTGTGTACAATTGAAATGTAAAAGTTTGACCAAATTTTATCTTTTTGATATTAATTTATCATGAAGGCAGAGTTTTTAAAATGAATTTTTACAACTTCTTAATCTTTAAGTTAATGAAAAATGTTTAAATGCAACTTAAGTTCCTGGAAAAACAGATGATCTAATAGAGCAATCAGGCAATGCTTCAGCTATTAATGTGTTGAAGTTTCATGACCCTACCCTGTATTTTTACTTTATGGTGCCTCAGGAGGACATCTGGGATGTGTGTATGTATCTACAGGGTGTGACTTGCCCAAGACTGATTTTTGTACAATGATCCTGTGCATTGAGGCTCCTTCATGAGCTCATTGCTGGCTCCTGGAAGAACAGTCGTCCTTTCAGAGGCATTTTTGCAGTCTTAAGTTCTAATGTATTGTTTTGCTTTGCAAGAGTGAACCTCCTGTAGATTTGAAATATGTCTGCATCCAAAAAGTTGTCTGGTCATAACCCTCACAGAAGGATCAAGCTGCTTTGTCTCCTGCCTTTTTTTGCCAGGTTTTTATGAGGTTTTCAGCATGACATCTGTCATATTGAGGATTTAATTTGTTCAGTTCACTTCCATCAGACACACCATGGCACACAAAGGTGTGGTGGGCTAAAGGTGTTGCTAAGTATGCAGCAGGTAGCAAGTTAAACCTTTCATTGTTTTATCCTCTCAGTTATGAATTATTCTTAATTTGTTATCTTTGCTTTTAGTGAGTCAGCTCATGACCTTGCAGAGATTTCTGACAGCCTGAATTTGTTCAGTATGAGAAAATTATTGCAGAAATGAAGGGACAAAATGTTGTCAGGGAGACTTATTATTGATCAGTTCACTGTAGAAGGATGATGATAGAGATCGGGTATAAATGATGTTTCATTGTTTTCTGAAGCAAAATATTTGTTATTCTCCATGGAAAACTCTTAAACTCCCTTTCTGCTTTCTCTGTAGCTCTTATGGAACTACAAGCTGAACCTGACTACAGATCCAAAGTTTGAATCTGTGGCCAGAGAAGTCTGCAAGTCCACTATTGCTGAGGTAAGCTGGGGGAAGGCATGGCTGCTTTTGTGGCATTGAGGCTTTTCTGTTTCTTTGTGAATTAATAGCTAATTCACTAATTAATAGCGAATTAATGTGTGAATAATGACTTGGGAAAGCTCTAATATCATATACCAAATTTGTACCTGTAATTAATTCATCCTCCTTGCTGAAGAAGCCAGGTACCTTAGTGGTACCAGGCAAAGGGATGGGAGAAAGAAATGCTGAACTAGCAACCCACCAGCTCCTATCAGACCTTTTGTCAGAAATCGCTTGTGAATTGGATTTGTCCCCTCTTTATCATATGTTTGACATTTGTAAGAGTGTTGTTGGAGCAGGGCTTCTGCTAAATTTAACATAAGGCTGGTTTTGGACTGTGTCTTGCTAGCAGAAGGGGTAAGCACGCAGACATCAAATGATGATCAGCTTGAGGGGTTTTTCCAAGTTTTAAATGGTGGTTACTCCAAGGAGACCATGTTAGGAACTTTTTTAGGTTGTGCTAGGAGTTTGTGCTCTGTGTCTCAGGCATCCACTCACCTCGGTACAGCTTCAGAGATGACTTGATCTATCATTTCTTTCCTTGTGCTCAAGCTCTTGAGGCTGTGAGCTTATGCAGGAGCTAGCTGAGCTGAGATCTCTTTCCCTGTTTGTGGTGGTTTTCAGCTAGACTTCAGAGAAACAGTGGAAGCAAGGCTCTCTGCAGCTGTGCAGGCTTCAGCTGACTTAATTCAGTCACTAAGCCATGCTCTCAAAACCATGGTTTGTATATCCACCAATGTAATGTGACCTAGCCATAAACTTGCATTTTAAAAAAACATTTATTCTGCTCTAGTGTAAGTTGTTTGGTGTAAGGGGAGATCAAAAAAATACTTATTAGAAAAAGGCCAGAAGATCAAAAGTGGAGGACAGCTTGCATCAAAGGATTGTGTTGTAGCTGGAGTTTGGTACCTCTCAAAAGCAAACACTGCCAAATCTGTTGAATCCCACTTTTTTCGATCATAGAAAGGATCATGTTTTTCTGGTTTTTGTCATATGGCTGCTGCAGAATTTTTACAACAAGGCATTCTTGAAAATGCTCTTTTAATAGTCTGTTAATTACCATTTTCATGCAGTGGCAGTCTGGCAATGCTGTAAACGATGCCCTGTGAATCTGGGATATTACATTTAAAAACAGTGGGAAGAGTATACATAATTTCAGAATTTTGCCATTTGGTGAGTGTTTTTTAGTTAAAGAAGAATGTTAGATAAGGAACAATCTCATGTTTGATCTTCTGGTGTTTAATACTGAGGCAGGTGCATAAACCATTCCTCTAATATTTTTTAAAGGTACTTCTACAAAACTCTTTAAAACAGATATATACTGGGCATATACTCCTCCCATACAATATTAACCTGTTCATATTTTCCTTAAATTGCCACTAACATGTATAGGTGACTTTTTGAGTGAAGGAGTTCTGTTTAAAGTATTGCTTTGCACTAAGAACAAAATACAGCTAGAAGGGCAGTTCTTAGAAAAAGGCATTTGGGAAATGGTGAATGACCCAGCTGGGTATGGGTATGTTCTGAAAGTGCACCTTTAATTTTATCAGCTAAATACAGTTTAAAATTCCAATTTATTTTGTTCTCAGCTGTTGTGGCTTTTATAAGTTCTGGCAAGAGCTTTAACCTAGAATTATAGTTGGCTACCAGATAACAGTGGTTGCTTTAGAAGTGGCCTGGCAATAACATGTTCTCTTGGTATTTTCTGCAGTTCAGTGGCTCAGGCCATGGAGCTCTGGGGCTGTTTCCAAAGCCAGGCTCTTCCAAAAACAGCATGTTGCTGTTGTGTGCTGGTTTGGCTCATAGTAGTGGAGCTGAAGTAGGGCCAAACCAAAGATGCAGCTTTCTCAGAGAGCACTTGCTCGACTCTGTCCTGTTCACCCTGCAAGGATCCTATGTGTTTTCACTTTAAAATGTATTTTACACCTTATCTGTAACAATTACATTGACTCTAGTAACTGTTTTGCTAGTAGCTATTTAGATTAAATATAAACTGTTTCACCAGCCCACATCTGTCTTCAAATAATGATGTTTAAAATGTTGAATGTTTTATTTGTCACACAGAAAGTAATGGCCTCATAAGCTGAGACAGAGATCTGTTTTAGTCATCTAGTCTGACCTGTGTGAGTCTGTCATAGGGTGCCCTGAGTTATTCTTGTTTGAATTAGAATATATCTTCCTAGAGACAGCTCTCCATTTTTTAAAATTTCCTATATAAATATTCCAACTTGGTATTTGAGCACTGATAAAATGGTTTCCTGCCTGTTCCCTTAGCACTGCCCTTGCTTGTTATCTGAAACTGCCAGAATTATTGATTGCCAAAGATCTTCCTTGAGATTGATGAGCCCTTCAGTATTTTACAGGGACAAATCTTTGATGCAATCAAGTCAGCCCATGTATCTATTCCTTGCAAACCTGTCAGCACTGAACTTTAGTGTCTGCCTGCCAGGGGTTCTTTCTGCAGCGTTATGACTGCAGTTTTCAGCACGCTCCTGAGCAGAGGCCACCAGGACTGGGCAAGTATTTCAGTGTGGGCTTGCCAGGGTTAAAGAGTTGTGTAGTCTCAGTGCTCCTTGGAGCGAGGCATTGCACTGCTCCTATCGAATGATTTCTCCTGGGACCATCCTTAACTGATAAGTAACCATGTTTTCCCCTTCTTTTGGAAAGACACTGTCAAAACTGCCTGCATCTTTTACTTCCAGAGGTGGTGGGTTTGGCCTGCCTGCTTCCCTGAGCAGTGCAGGCTGTGATTTATATTGGGGACCTGTCTGTTCTTGTACGCTGCTTTTTCAATCCCCGCACAGCTTTCAGCTTTGGTTAGCTGTGATTTTTACTTTCTTTAGACCACTGAGTAAAATGGTTTTAGTACCAACAATCAGTTCATGCAAGAGCCTCTAAGAAAAGAATTTGATGAGAATTTTCCTTTATAGTATTTTTCATCTCTTAGCAAGTTATAAACAGTTCCATAAATAGTGTTGACTTTTGAATCAATCTCACTTCTGGCCAAAATCTTACATTGTACGAGGTCAGGTGGCTAATGGGGGTCTAAGTATGATTTAGAGATGTAATATGCTCAGTTTTCTAAATAAAGGTTTGTCAAACTAGCATTTTTCATACAAGTCTACTTGATTGCAGGGGTTCAGTGTAATTATGAAGGACGATTATTGAGCAATAGAATTTATAATCCTCAAGGTCACTGTGTTTGCTTTTTTTGGATGCTGGCACACATGAGATTTCTCATTTCTGAAATATTTTCAATTATTCTGACTTACTGGAAATCAAACTAAAGCCTAGAGGGTTTCTTTGGTAGCACATTTTGAAGCTACAGATTCAAGTTTCTTTGAGGATTTTCTTATAAGGTTAAATTCATAAGCTGCAGCCACTGTAATTTTCTTTTCTTTTTTTTTTTTTTTTTAACAGATAAAGGAGTGTGCAGATGAACCAGTTGGTAAAGGGTTCTTGGTGTCATGTTTGGTGGATCACAGAGGCAACATCACTGAGTACCAGTGCCATCAGTACATCACTAAAATGACAGCCATTATCTTCAGTGATTATCGGTTGATCTGTGGCTTCATGGACGACTGCAAAGCTGACATCAATCTCCTGAAATGTGGCAGCATTCGACCTGGAGAAAAGGTATCTGGAGAACATGTAGATTGCCAACAGACTCATAAAAGTCATTCACTTCAGGGAACTGATGGGGAGGCTCTGCAGTAGTATTACTGTCTTACAACTGAGAAAACACATGGTGTATCTCATCTGTCTGAAAAGGGTGATGTCCTGATTGTTTGCAGTTCCTTTTTAATAAATGTGCATTCATTCCTCTGTGAGGAACTGCTATGCAGAGACTTTCATTTGTCTTTCCACACCCCACTACAGGTGGTCTGGCAGGTAGTTGACTCTTTGATGAGGCCTTCTAGAGCTTGACTCACTACGTTGAATCCAAACAATATATTTAAGCGGGCCTATTGCTTGGCTTATTTCACAGTCTGGTTGGGTCTGGCAGGAAAGTTATCAAGGTGATGATGCCTGTGCTATAGCCCTTTCTGCTTTCTCAGGCTGTAGTTGATAGACAGGATCAACAGCTTTTATCTGTTTGCTTCTCCTTTCCTCTGCCCCTACAAAATCACTTGAAGGGCACAGGATGTGTGGTATCACATTTTAGTAGTACACACCAGTACTGTCCTGGTTTTACTAAATCAGTGTTCTTTTGCCTGTGAGGCTTAAGCAGAGGTTGCTGCAAAGAACAGTTTATAGTGACTGGACGTGGAATTATTTTCAAGGGACTGTCTTTCCCTGTCTACTTCAGCATAACTAATGCAGCAAATGTGTAGTGCTGCAGGAATGAGTGACTTTTTCTATGATAAGTTTTTATGTTTAGGGATAAAGTTAAAATTAGCCTATCAACTTTTTACAGTACTTTTTTAATTATAGCTTTTATGCTTATAACAATTAGTCTTATAAATGAGCTATTAGTGAAGGGGTTTGTAATAAGATACACATTCTTTGGTTAGAAAAAAGAAGCTTTCCTAGTTGTTTGAGATATTCACAGTTATTAGCAGCTAGTGTGTTAAATTCAATTTCTAGTGTATTCCAGAAGACTTAGCTGAGCTACAGAAAGCACAAAAATAAGGACTCATTTCTGGAAACAAGAACAAAAGCAACAACAGAAGCGGCAGGAACTTGCATGCACTATAGGTTCAGACTGGTAACAACTGAGTAACTTGCTTTCTCCATAAAGCAAAGGCTCTTTTCTAATACTGGGCTGAAAGACCTCATGAAATGAGAATGAGAAATTGCTTTTAGCAATCAGTATAGAACCAAAAGTGTAACATGAATCCTGCGTGTCAGGTCTGCATATTACTGTGGCTTGACCAAATTTAAATAAATTAAAATACTTATGGTCGCACTGAAGGGGTACAGCAGAGGGGATTTTGTAAGCATAAGCCAAATCTCAGATGGTGGGAGTGAAGCCAGTGTGGGCAGGCCTGTGTGGCTAACTGTGCACAACCCACCACAGGTTCAGGTGGGTGAAGGGGGAGGATGGCCAGGGTGGCTGAGGCCACAAGGCACCAGAGAAGGGGAAACTTTGGCTCACCAAGTTTCTGTGGGCTAGCAAAGCGACCACTAACCAAACTTCTATGGGTTTTACTACAGCTCATGCATATTCCACTCTTTCTTCGTACCCAACCCAGAATATTGTGCCTTGGTTTGAAAAAGTGTTGCAGCCTGTCATATATCTTTTGTTGTGCTGTCATCCTTGGCACTTGGAGCAATTGAAGTACTCTATACTGCTATGGAAACAGCTATAAATGGCTATGCAAGCGTTTCTTTTGTTGGTGTTCTGTTCTATCCCTTTGCTGCTTCAGAGAAATCTAATTTGCTTCCATTAGATGCTGGTTAAGGTTTTATTTCCATGCTCTAGCTTCTGAGAGTTACCTGTAGAGAAACAGTCATTACCCTTTTGTATGACTGAAGATAACTGTGCATTTAATAAATAGGACCTGGACACTTGAGGAGGAGGATGGGAGGAAGAGATTCTCTCTCTTTTTTTGTGGAAATAAGAACAGTTAGGCCATGAACTCCGGCTAGGGGATTGCAGTATGATAGTGTCATCACAGTAACTGGGATAAACTGGCATTTTTAACTGTGAAAGGCGCTCAGGTTGATAATCTGGAATTACCTTGCCCCTTGAAGCTTCTCTGCTAGCTAAACATGTTCCTTTTCTATACTTCCTTTTTTTGTTTAAACTTGCTTGATACTTCCTAATTGAATTCTGTTCTTACTGAGTTTGTTGCTTCTCATGTGGTGGTTTCTGTGTTTTCTTTTCAGCCATTTCTAGTTGGGTTTCTGCTCTGTAAGAGCCATAAAGTTCAGTTTAGAAGTCTTGATCTGACCCTAGACTTCATTTTGCTATATGTATATAGCAGAAAGGCTGTAGATGTGTCATTTGAAGGCATTAAGTTTACTAACTTGCCTATGTTGGAGGGTGGGGATGGAATATGTCATCTTTTCTCGACTAGTGGAGAAACATTTAATAAGTAGTTTCAGTCACCTCTCCATGTGGCTGTTGCGTTTCGTAATGAATTTGGTCTCCTGGTATTTTAAAGTTGCTTTATCTTCATGCAATAGGGATCTAATTTGAAATTGAAAGGGGTAATTGCCGTGGAGCTTTTCTTCTACAGCTGCTGATTGAATTGAGCTACTTTCCCAGTCCTGGTCGTGTCCAGGATTGTATCAAACTCTGGTGGGCAGCGTGTAGCTGCCAAGGTGCTATTTAGCCCATGATGTCCAAGCTGTAGTTGATTATTTGCCATAATGAAAGCTGCATAAGTGTCAGTTGCACATCTCTTGTAGTAATTTATCAGATAACAATATTTTTCCTAAAGGAAGACACCTCAGGAGATCACTGTTTTCTTGTTTTTGTTTTGTTTTTTACCTCTAAGTGCTTTGAGTACAGTTGCTCTCTTTCCTTAGTTTGACAAAAGTACTGGACACAGAGGGAACTGAGTCTAAATGGGAAGAGATAACATTCAGCTCAATATTTGTTTACTCAGTGTAGTAGTGTAGCAGTGTACTATCATCTGAAGTACTGGGAATTAGCTAATCCAGGAGACATCCCAGCATCCCTGGTGTGTGGGTTAGCCAGGTGGAATGCTGAACTGGAGCTCCCAGTAGATCCTCCTGGATGGTTTTCCATAGCCTGGCTGCTCTGGCTCCAGTGGGTTGGCACAACTGTCCAGTGCAGGGTGCTGTGCTGATGAGACAGGTTATAATTTACTCTTCTGCCTGCTGCTTCTTTTTACTCTTCATTCTCTTTTGGTCATTTTTCTAGCTTCTATCTGCAAGGCTGCAGCTGGAACAGATGTGTGCTTGAGGCATGTCATCAGGTTTCAGACAGGATCAAATCCTTTCTGGGAAACTTCTGAAAAATGACAAAAAATCCCCAGCAGTTGCAAAGCCTAAACTATACTGGGGGGAAAGTGAAATCTCTAATGGAAAATGAATAGTAAATGCAATGTTTTTAAAATTCTGTTTTGGCCTAAAGCTGGATGCCTGGAGTTTGAATTTTAGTCATAGGAATGAAAATCTCCCAGTGTTGTGCTGAAGGGGATTTGCTTGGGCACATACATTTAGAACTAAGTTTCATTCCTCTGTGGCTCAAAGTGCTGTGGGACTAGTGGAAAGCTGCTTGTATCTTTTGTGGATCGAGGGATATGGTTTCTTAAAGCTATGAAGAGTTTCAGGGCTCTCCAGTCTAGGTAATTATCTAGTATGTTTTACAGATACTTGCAAATTTCAGTTAAAAGCCTACATTTAAAACTTGATAGTGGTGGTGAAGCTATGTTCCAGAAACCACATGTGGTTTTTAGATTTGATCTCTTGTATTTCAGTGTATTGCTCCAGAAAAATGAGGCCTGGACTTTGTCATCGGGCAGCAGGTTTTGCAGGAGTCCTGACTTCTGGAGTGTACTTAGAGGTTTTCAACTCTGCAGTGGAGGTTTTCTGAGAATGGGTGCTGGACAGAGGAAAATAGTTTTTAGGATTCATTCCACAGCAGAGCTGCAGCAGGTGTTTCACCCTTGTCCACACCAGGCAGCTGGAGCAGGGCTGGGAGAGCTCATGCTGTGGGATGATGACCCTTGACTTTGGTGCCTCTGAAGCTGAGCTGACCACCCAGGACTGTTGGCACATGGAATGCAGGTGGGAACAGGCATCTCTTGAGGTGGAGAGCTGGGTAGTGATACAGGTACCACCAAGGTGTGTCGAAGTTGTCCTGCCATCCTTGGGACAAGCCTTGATTGCCAGCTGCTTTAGGGTGGTTGAGTGCAGCTGTACACACATTTGTTTTCCCTTCCAGTCTGCAATAAGAGATTGTACAATATTAAATACAGTAGGTGTTACCCTATAATTAAAGCTTGAAGTGATATTTCTCTAAACCGTGTTTGTAGAGTCCCATGCTCTGTTTGGCAGTAGTGTGGGTGTCTTCCTGCACTTTTGAGGAAATGAGAGTCAGGCTGTCCTTAAAATTGCTTAACCAGTCAGCACTAGCACTCCAGGTACCTGATCTGCCTGAAAATGAACCCCAGATTAGGCCAGTAAATCTTCCAAAGAGTCATGTGGGCACAGGAACCTTAAGGGCACTGCAAGGAGGTGTGTAAATGCTTGATGGTTGGAGGAAAGGGCGTGTTTCAGGGGCCAGATGGGTTTGTTTGTGTGTGTTTCTATTGAGTCTGACATAATTGAAAATTAATCTAACACAGGGCAGCAGAGTAGCCAGCACTTCAGAATGATCTGCCCAAATGTGAAAGCTCTGTTAGCAAAGGAATGCAATAGATGAGCCATATCTTGTTGTGTCCCTGAAGTGTAACAGCAAACATACAGCATCCAGCATATGGAAACCTCCTTTCCAGATTTCCTATTAAAAATAGGTTTACTTACATAAATAATATGACTCTGACCAGGAGTCTAAACCCACAGTGCAATAAACCAGGAAACTTCTGATTTTCCTAGCAGGAAAAGCTTGCCTTCTGCCCTTCTTGCTAGCTTGCAAGGGAAAGCTGCAGGTAAGTGAAAGTAACCTTGGTCTGCCTTGCCTCCCAGCTGCAACTTCACTTAGGCAGGAGCAAAAATGTGCCACAGGAGCTTAAAATGGTTGTTTTCAATCATTCACACTTGACAGCTTCTCAGCTGTAGTTACTGCCTGTGACTGACCATCAGAGTTTGCAGAACAGTGTTTGTGTTTGATGTGGTTATGGATAAATGGCAATTTTAAGTGATGTGGCAAACTTACTTCTGAGTACTATTCCTCAGAATCCAGATTTGAGGATCAGTCCTAAAGAGACTGTTGATAATTATATTTCTTCGAAGATACCTAGTCAGCATATGGAATTCTTGGCCAATTCTTGGCCAGTTCTCACTCAAAGAAAGGAATAAACCAAAATAAGGAATTTTGGGAGGTGTGGGTTTTAGGTTTTCTGGTTTTATTTTTGTTTTGGTTTTGGGTTGGTTTTGTTTGTTTGTTTGTTTGTTTTTTTTTTTTTTTTTTTTTTTTTTTTTTTTTTTTTTTTTTGTTTTTTTTTTGTGGGGAAAACTGCTTTTAGCCTTTTTTAACTGATGATATTTCTGGGTTGTGTTTACAAGTTAACAAGTAATTAACCAAATCTGCTTGTGCTCAAAGTGTAGCAGAACTAAGACAAGAATCAAAGGCTGCCTGTGTAAGGAGACACGTCAGAACAAAAAAATTGGGGAGAGTTGTGTGGCTTTCTGTAGTCATGGACATGTTTTCTGGAGACTGCTCTCTAACTCCTGCTCCTATAGCAGCAGTGGATGATCTGCTTGACAGAGCAAGCTGAAGGGATGGCTCCTAAATGGTGACTGCAAATGCCAGGCTGGGTGATTCAGCTGAATATGAGCATGCATGCCTTGTTGCATATTCAGACAGTGTAAGTTTAGTGGCAATATCCTCTCACAGCAGAGCAGCATAAATTAAGGTGGCCTTCACATGAAAAACTTGCAGAAGCCTTGAGAAATTTGTACCTGTAGAATCCTCTAGAGGAACCAGACCTTCTGCAGAGGTATGGAGGGGGCACTGTTCTCTTTCTAAACACATAATGAGGATATAGGAAGCTAAATGGAGCTTTGCTGAGCTTTGCCTTGCCTCTTCCAGGCTTTTGAACAAAGCACAGGCTCTCTGTGTTTACTGGCAGTTGCTGCTCACAGTCCAAGCTTGTCTCCAGGCCTGCAGGGCAGTGGATGTGGTGCACAGCACTGGGCCAGAACTGCTTTGTCAGAGACCCCTGTCTACTCTTGAATACTTGGCGGTTTTGTATTCTCTTAGTGGATGAATTGGGAAGCCCAGATTGGTCAAAGCTCCTTTGTGGCCTTTTTTACATAACAAATTTTCACCACCCCAACTGAAGGCTTGTCTCAGTGTGGCAGAACTATGATTTTTCTCTCCCCAAGCATTTTCTTAATGTGATGCTGTTCCTTGCTGTTGCCATGGTGCCAAGAAAGCTGTGTCAGATTAAAGATAATTTGGCTGTTTTGGTAAACTCCTCTGAGCAGTGTGACTAAGTAGTGATAATCTCATTAAGTCACATTAAAACAAGTCCAGAGCATTGGAGGGGGAATTTCATGGTGACCATCAGTGGGATGGTGATGTATAAAGTGTGGTTAGTACAGGTTTTAATTGTTGCCTCCTCTGAATTTAAATGGGTTTTAGACTGAATATTGGGAAGTCTGTATGTAGACAGTTTGTTGCTTAATTAATGTGGTACTTGGCCAGAATCACAGCTCACTTGATTATGTAAAAGCTTGGTTACAGATGTCTTGTTCTCCCATAGGATGCTCACTCACAGGGAGAGGTGGTGGCATGCCTGGAAAAAGGCCTGGTAAAAGAGGCAGAGGAGACTGATCCTCGAATCCAGGTTTCTGATCAGTGTAAGAAAGCAATTCTTCGTGTAGCTGAGCTCTCTTCTGATGACTTCCACCTGGACCGGCATCTCTACTTTGCGTGCCGCGATGACAGAGAGCGATTCTGTGAAAATGTGAGTGCTTTCCTCTTCCTTTCTCTCTACAGTAATCCATTTAAAAAGCCCAAAACCTCTCTGGAAAAAGCAGTGAAGGGAACTGTAGACTTGAGCCTGCGTGATACTGTGTAATACTGAAAATAGACACCCTGTAACTGTCATTGTGCAGTTATTCCAGCATTAAATTCACTCGCCCAACAAACATGCATTATTTCCAATGGGTTGATGAACTGAATTGGCATAAATGGTTGAAGGGACATGACAGCTGGTGTGACAGGGAGTGGGGGAGGAAAGGTAGAGGTGAGTGACCACTCCTTTCTACAGCTGTGAGCTGTTGCACAAAGTAAGCCTGGTCTGACTGTACTTGCAGCACTTTTTATGCCTAGCATGAGCTGCATTGTTCAGTCTCAGTTAGCTTGTATTAGCTGAGAGTTGTTACACTGAAAGGGTGATGAACATGACAAGATTTTTTTTATGCAATAAAATTTAAAGGATTTTTATTGCATAGAAGCTAGTGCTGTCATTTGAAATATTAACTTGAATATATTATTAGTTTAAAAAAAATTCTCCTCAGGTGTAGTTTAGCCTGCTTGTCAAATGTTACAAGTATTATCTTTAAGGGTAACTGTTACTGTTCTGTTTCACAGACTCAGGCTGGGGAAGGCCGAGTATACAAGTGCCTCTTTAATCACAAGTTTGAAGAATCAATGAGTGAAAAGGTAAGTATCCTGGTGAGACAAATCCTTTCTGAAGAAATCATCAGATCACTCCTCAGTCCAGGCTGCATTATTCTTTTCCAGTGTTAAGGAAAATGTCACCTTCCTAGCCAGATAATCAGCTAGTTTAACAAATGCTTTTACTTTGATATTTTTGTGTTTCAAGTTTCAGTCTTTCAAGTAAAGGATTTAAATAAATCAAAGCTTTTGGGTAGGTAATTTGGAGAGGCAATACATGGAGCTCAAGTGGTAGCACTGTGATTGACTGTTTAAAGTAGCAGTCACAGCATGCTGGGGTAAGCCTTGGATAAATGGTGTTCTAATTGTACAGATGAAAAACAAAAAGAAGCTGTGTTTCTTTCACTTGTGTTTTTAAGGCTGTTTTCAGGCATCACATTCTGTGTGGGAAGGATGCATGGTTCAGTGACTGAACAGAAGTTTTCCTTCTGGTTTTCTTGAAGATGTGGTTTTCAACAACAGCAAAAAAAAAAGTTGTTCTAGAAAGCTAGTTCTGAAAAGGTTGTATTGGTATAGGTGCTTTGTTAAGGCAGCAATACCTTCAGTGATTTTGGAAGCAGCATCATAGTGTTTGTGATTATATGGAATTGTAATCTGTTGGGAAGGATGTGAAGATGAATATCTGTAAAGATCTTCTCAAAGAAGGTCTGCTGAAGGAGCCTGACTCAGAGTGCTGAAGGGATCAGACTAATTTCTTTTTTATTAATTGCATTAGCTGTCTGACAGCTTGGTTCCAATTAACAAATTCAAATCTGAACAAGTGATCTCTGAGGGCTTTAAACAAAGCTCCATTTTGTAGAGCTGTTACTGAAAAGAACTGCTGCTGTTGCTTAACCTCGGTTTAGTTACACAGGGACACTGGTAGTTTTTGAAGGGTGTTTTCCATGATCAGCTGAATGAGGTATGAATGTAAGATGCAGAGAGGTTACACCAAGCTGCAGCAGATGACTTCGTGGGGAGAGAGGGGTGGATGCTCTGAGGATGCAGTTTGCAGAGCAGAAGGAGCACTAAATGTAATTCTCACTCTTGTAGCTGCCAAGGTTGGGCCATCTGCAAAGTCACTGGTTTTGTAGAAGCTGTTACCCAGCCAAGAGTCCCTCCTTGCCGAAGGCTGCTGCATACACATGTAGCCAGCAATAGCTGCGCGTGGGTGGCTTGCTTTGTGTCATCCAAAACTGGCTCCTGGGCTGTATCCAGCCTTTCCCTGCTTCAGGTGATGAGGTATCTGCAAGCCTGTATCTCCCTGTGTCCAGAGCTATAAAATTGTCCTGTCCCAGGGTCTGGGGCTGCACAGGAGCATAAAAGACAGAGTGGGAATATCTTGGAGTAGGGCTTTCCAGGTCCTCAAGTAGGTGTGGGAAGAAGGGAGCGAAGTCAAAAACCTGATGTAAGAAAGTGGGGAGCAGGTTCTGGGACTTTGCTGTTCCTTGAGCCAAGATTGCTCCCTCTTTCCCCAACTCTACACTGTCTTCCTTCCTTTCAAGTGGGCTGGGAATGGACAAATTTGCTTGAGCTATTCTGAGTTATCTGCTGCCCTCAGATTTCATTTTCACATAATTTAAACCAAAATCTGTGAAGTGTAGCAGTGTTTTTACAGGTCCTTTTTTGGTTGAAATTTAGAGTGTTGTTCTTGCAGCTGCTGGGCTCAGGTTTGGCCATAGTGCATCCTTGTGAACCTCATCAGTTGTAGAAAATGGCTGGAAATTCCCACGGTTAGGCTGTTTTATCTGCTATCATCTGCTCAGCGCCTTGCGGAACAAATCCAAGAAACGCATTATTTTGTAAATGCAACTGGAAAAGTTAATTTCTTGAGGGCATGGGGTGAGCATGTACCACAGCTGGGATAAATGTCAGCAACTGCTCCTAGTTACCACGAATGAGTCACGCTCTTCACAAAAAGCTGGATGAATGTGCAGTTCTAAGAACTGCTCTACAGAGAGCTGCTCCCTTTGAAACCCCTGATCTGTTGACCTCGGTGTGCATTGTTAACCGTGTGGTTTCTGTAAGACAAATGAAATTTAGCTGCAGTCCAGCTTAAATGCATGAATTTAAAAGCAACGGTTGTTTTCTGAGATGCAACTTGAAAACTTGACAGCAGCAGGTCCAGCTCTCTGCCACCAGCACACAGAAGCTCATTCCACCACCCCAATGTGTCTCCTGCAGTGTCGTGATGCTCTGACAACCCGCCAGAAGCTCATTGCCCAGGACTACAAAGTCAGTTACTCGCTGGCCAAGTCCTGTAAAAGCGACCTGAAGAAATACCGCTGCAACGTGGAGAACCTGCCCCGCTCGCGGGAAGCCCGGCTCTCCTATCTGCTCATGTGCTTGGAGTCTGCTGTGCACAGAGGTGAGTGGAATTCAAGACTTGCTGGGACCTTGATTTTAAATTCAAGGACTTTCAGCTTCAATGTGTGTTTACAGTCCCCTTCTCTTTCCAAACTTTGTTTCCAAGGCAAATTTCCTCATCATGGTGCTTTCATTGCTGTTGTTTTGATGATCAGAATAGCTGAGTAAACCCCTCTGCCACTGACTCCTTTTGTGCAGACAAGAAGTTTAAAATGCAAAATAGCAAATCCCACTTGGACTGCTGATGTGTAGTTGCAAATCCTTCTATTCACTGTGAATTGAAGCAGCTCTTTTCCTCCATTGTGTAGCAAGCATTAAATATGCTACAAGGTTAAAACACAGAATAGAGAACCTGTTTATCCTCACTCAGGGAAAACCAGGGATACTAAGTCCTCTGCCTGTTGTAAATAATTTCTTTTCTTGCAGTTCAGGAGCTTGAGTAAATGCCTTAATTTCTCTGACTCTGGTTTTTCCCTATATAGAAAGAAGGTAAGTGTGAGAATATTAATTTTGGTCATTTAAGTTAATGTAAGCTGGAGGTGTCCTAACATCAGCTGCTGTCTCTAAAGGCATTAGAAGGCTCTGTGCAGCATACCATGCTAAAGGTTCTCTGTGAAATTGCCATAATGTGAAACAATGTGTTACATCCTCTAGATCTGCACTGGAGAACTGCTTGTTTTCCCTCCTGGTGTGCAGCTGGGTGGTTTCAGAGTGAACAGCAGGGGTGCAATGCTGCAATGCCTCTGGCATGGGATGGAAAGGCTGCCATAATCCCATAAGCAGTCTGCATCTGTGAGTTTGAATAACTCATTGCTTCTGATTGATGTGGAAATGATGTGCCCTGTTTGTAGAAAAGTTGTGGTTTGGGGTATTGTTTTATTTTTTTCACTTCTCCCTGCAGTAGGGCAGGTGGTTTCCTGAATTGCGTGCAGAAAACTGCTGTTCAGCTATTCAATTTCATGGTGGAACAGGTTCTACAGTGTCTCATGCATGAGGCATAGCCCAGGAGGAACACTTAATTATTCCACACAGCACCATGTACATGTGTTACATCGCCTGGCAGCCCCTGTTGGGGTGTCCTCTGTTCTGTAGGATGTTGTGCACATGTAAATAGGATGAGATGGGGACTGCAGGAAAGCTTATAGCAGATCTAAGCATCTACTACAGCAAGATTTCTGTGCAGCTGCAGTGGTTTGTTGGACACTCCATATACACTCTCATTTAAGTCTGAGTTTTGTCTTCCTGAGCATTTATGTGCTATTGCCCTAGAGAACCTTTTCATTGGAGAAAACGTTTAACCTGCTGTCCAAACAAATTACTCTCCTGGTTACATACCAAGCTGGTGAACCTATCAAAGGTGACTTCTGTGGAAAAAGGAGCCCTTGAGCATGTGGGGAAAAGCTGACTTGTGCTACAGAACTGCAGATACATGAGTGCTTTCAGCTGTTCTTCAGAAGCAAGTCCTGTAATGTGAAGTCCAAAATCAGATTCTCCTAATCTTTCAGGCATTCTTTTTTTAAAAACCTGTGTTAAATCCATAAACTAGCTGTATTTTACAGGGTTGTTGAAATGACAGGAGCTACCACAACCACTGGTTTATTTTCCAGCACGAATGCTCCAGCACATTTCTTAGTCTCGTGTTGTTCGCAGTGTGGACGTTGTCCCCGCTCTTCTAACAGGCTGGTAGCACAGGTCAAGAAGGGCTCTCCTAAGCATTGAAACTAAATCACTTTCTCTTGGCTCAGGTCGACAAGTGAGCAGTGAGTGCCAGGGTGAGATGCTGGATTACCGGCGCATGCTGATGGAAGACTTCTCGCTGAGCCCAGAGATCATCCTGAGCTGCCGCGGGGAGATCGAGCACCACTGCTCCGGCCTGCACCGCAAGGGCCGCACGCTGCACTGCCTGATGAAGGTCGTCCGGGGCGAGAAGGGCAACGTCGGCCTCAACTGTCAGCAGGCAGTAAGGAGCTTTTCGGTCGCCTCGCTTAGTTTGCTCAGTTCATCACCATGATATTTTTATGGAAATCCTTGGCTAGGATTTTTCTCCTGTTCTAGCTGAGAAGCCTCAGAAAAGAAATGTAAATAAGAACTATTGGATGGGTATGGAATGTGGTCTGGAGGTTGATTACCAACAGATGCATCTTTCATTGGTCCATGTGGATTGTTTCTACTTGATGCCCAATCATGGGCCAGCTGTGTGGACTCTCTTAGAGTCATGGGTTTTTGTTATTCTTTCCATTCCTTTCTAGCTTTCTGATGGATCCTTTCTCCCTATTATTTTTAGTATAGTTTTAGTATAGCATTTTAATATAATATCATAATATAATCAGCCTTCTGAAACATGGAGTCAAGATTCTCATCTCTTCCCTTGTCCTGGGACCCTCGAACACAACCACACTCAGTTGGTAAAAGCACTGATTTCTTTCAACGTTTTGCCTTGTGATGGAGGTTCTGCTGAAGTCAGCCTGGCTCTGCTGGGTGCCAATGAATGCTGGAAGCAGTTGTGTAATTGCCATGCTGTGAACTTGGTGTGTAGCAAGGGTAAGGATGGTGTTTTTCCCCTCAAAAAGTACATTTTGGATTGTTGTGCTCTGGACTTTTTATTGGATCTTCTGTAGTTTTTCTCTACCTTGAAGTAATGGAATTCTCTACTGAGTGCAAGGTGTAGGGAAACTCACCTTTTATAATACTAAAACATTCCATGTACTTCTCTTTTCTCCCTCTCCTTCCCTTTTGCCCCTATGCCCTGTCCTTGGAAATGCACAAAACCTTTCAAAGCACCTTCCCACTCAGTTTTACTTTTGCTATTTCATTCAGCTTTAATGATGGAAATGGAAATTTGGGGACAGGGAGGTGCAGCAGATTGCTGCGTGTTGATGTACTTGCAGCCAGTGAAGGAAATGCCATTTTCCTCCAAACTACCTCTGTAAAATAGGATATTTCTTTTTGCCTTTTTTAACTCAATTTTGGCCCAAATACATCCTGCTTATCATTTCTTTAAATTGAAAACAAGTCAATTTTTATTCAAACTCATTAGTGCTTTTTTTAATATGAAATTACATTTTTGTACTTAATACTTGATTTTAATGGCCCATGAGCCCGAAAAAGTGATATCAGTGATAAAAAGGGCAAGGAAGTCTTAGTGCTGATGTAGGAATTTGGGGAGATGTGTGCTCTTGGCTTCTTTTAATAAACAGAGCCACTGTTCTGTACATTTTTGTTTTAAATGTAGCTTAAAACTTGAGCTTCAAATGATGCAAATTTGTATGTATTATCAAAGATAAATTAATAGCTGTTAAATTTTTGTAAGTCATAGGCTGCTTTTGTGATGAAGCTTATTTCTGCATAAATACCAGGTGTACTGGTGCAGCAGCTGTACAGTTTGAGTCATTCCTGCAGGGATCTGTAGTGCATGACTTAGGCTTTGCAGCCTTTGTGTGAAAAGTGGATTTTTTTTTCTGTTTAAATATGAATTTGAAACTGCTGCTTCAGAATTTCATTATTTGGAAATATTCATAAGATCAGTTAATATTGGGAATAACTTTTAGATCATGACATGCATGTTCAGAACAAGTCATAAGTCAAAACAGGAGGACCCCAAAAGTGATATGGGATTTCAAACTTTGAGAGAAAAATCTTCAGAAATTTAGGGCAAGTTTGGAGGTTTTTTAGTTCTCTTACACTTAAGCTACTGCTTTATTTTTTTTTTACATTAAGTTGATGCAATAGTAAATAGGATTGTCCATGAGTCCCCTTCAAGTTAAATGTGTTTTTTTTCTCTGGGCAAAGGACAGGAAAAAGCAAATTAAGTGTTGATTTTATACCTACGTTTAGCTTGTCTGGATTTTTATGGGCAAGAGGAAGTAGATGATTGCAAGAACAGGATAAACATTCCAATGCCCTGAGTTTCTGAAGACTGACACAGTACTGCTATATAGCTGCCTGCAACTTTTGAAGTACTAAATAATTTATTGTTCTTAATTTTTGTATTTGAGTGGTAAGGGTTGTCTCAGTTGTCAGTGGCTTTGTTGTGTTTTGACTTAATGTGTTAGAATGAGCTTTCTGCTTTTACCTTTAAAGGCAGATAGATTATCTTTGCAAGGAAGAGAATATTGTGTGAAACTCTTACAGATAATGTGCAACTTGGGCTAGAGACTTTAACTGCTTGTCACATGAGGTTGGCCTGCATGGCAAGCCCTGAAGAAGGGAAGTTAGAGATCCATCCTCCAGAGTAGGCTGGGGCCATTTCAGTTCTTTTTGGGTACCTAGAGAGCACCTTTGGTGTGTGGTTCTGGTGTGGCTCTTGGTGGTGGAGCAGTTGTTTGTGGCGTCCCTACATTTTCACCTGCAGAAAGAGAGGAAAACAGCATAGGTGTTCTGGGATGGTCCCAGCAGAGCTTGCTGCAGTGCTTTGGGTCCATGTCCAGATGCTGTCTTTTCTATTGAGTCAAAACCTCACATCCTTGTGCTTTTAGCAGTATCATTAGCTAATGCTAATACAGCACCTTGATTTCTTGGCTAACTCAAAGCAACAAGTGTTGTCCTGAAATTCTTCCTCATAGAAGCTCTATGACCAGACACACTTGCCTAAAAAGATTGCCAGGGGCAGTTGTAAAGGGAAACATCTGTTTTGGATATGGTTTTACTTCCTGTCCTGTCTGTGGAGGTTTGCTCTGATTCTACTTGTCCTATGAAAGGAAGTCATTAGCCCATCTGCCAGAACCAATATAAAGAATCCTAAAACAGCAAAGCACAACCAAAGAACCTCCATTTCATTTCCTGCAAGAGCATTGACTAGTACCCTTTCCTGCAGATGGATTATGAGTGATTATTTGTATTTAAATTTTTGAACAAAATGCAATGTTAGACGTTCTCAAACCCCAGTATTTTAATTTGGGAAGTTCCATTTATTGTGAGACACCTTAGCCAGAGTGATCTTGCATGTGGGAGTCTGTGCTCACACCTGTCTGCTGTCCTGCAGGAAGCACATCTAGACCCAAATGTCAGAGCTGTGTGGCGGTTTAGTCTCAGTTTGAATAGTGAAGTTGCCAAAATGTTAAAGCTCTGTGAATGGTAGAGGAACAATGGTTTCTGTAGGTGGTTTGGCCTAAGTTAGGAAGAGGACCCCTGAGTGTGCTGAGCCTCATAAAGGATCCTAGCCACAGGGTGTATGTGTGCTGTGCTGAGTCATAGGAGAGGAGATACAGTGTCCCTTAATTGTGAGCATCAGCCCTTCAAAGGTCTGCAGCTGTACTGGCAGGCTCTAGCATCTCTGCTGCTGCTTGGTGGAAACTATTTTATATTAGAGTTGTTGATAAATTGTTTTTCAGATATGTGGCTTCTATCCTGCCCTGATCTTGCCTTTGGGATTTTTTCAGTTCAGACCTTTGAGTGGATAAAAGTCCAGTCCCTGCCTAAAGGGCATATATTTCTTGCCTCCAACTTCTAATACAGCAGTTAAATTGATATTTCATTGTTAATTTAGTTCCATCCCCAGGATAAAAGTTCAGAGCATTGTAAAGTTTATCCAGCTGCTTTTCTGCTGTAAGGGTTCGTTGTGTGAAGGAGGAAAATCCTGTACAACCTTCACTTTTATCACTGATGCCAAATTATTCCTTCTTCCCTACAGTCAGGGCAACTGGCTTGGTGCTGCACATCGTGCATGTGGTTAAGAATTAAGTCTGGGAATTCTGCAGTAGTGCCCAAAACAGGGTGGAGGGATAAGGAGGTACTTCAGTGCTTCTGAGCTGTTGTACCTGGTGTGCTTTGGCCTCTTCCACTTGATAGCAACAAAAATACCAATTAACTGAAACCTGAGAAAGAATCCTGCCTACATAATGCTCTGGCCAGTTTATTTAATCTGTATATGTAAGAAAGTGTTGGGTTTGAAGTTCTATTCACCCATCTTTCTGATATGTAAGTCATCTGACTTGAAGTAATCCCAGAAGTTTACACACACAGAGTATTCCCCATACATGCAGGCTGTGTGAGTTTCTGCACCAGCAAAACCAAAATATTCTTCTTCCTCTTGCAGTGACTCTTAAAAAAACACATAAAGAACACAAGATCCAGTTAAGGTTTGACCTTAAGCTTCTGTTTGACCACTGTCAGAGATGTATAAATGTTTCTTTTATTATTATTATTTTTTAATGAAGATATCCCAAGAATTTTTGATAGACAGTGCTCTTCTCTGTTGCCTGCATCCCTTAGAAGCTGAGGCTGGGCATAATTAAGAGCAAGTCGCAGGAAATCCTGTGTTCCTCCCAGGCAATCTGTGGTCTCTCCTCATGACTGCAAGTTTCCTATTGGATAAACAGTGCTAGCTTGTATTTTCTCCAGTTCTCTGATGCTTTTTTCTTGCCTGTGTTTTGTGATGTTAGGGCTTTGCCCCTGAGAGTTTCCCGGGTGGTGTTTAGGTGCAGACTTTGAAAGGTGGAGGATAAAATTGTAACTGTGCTTTTGATTTAGTTGGGCTGAGGGCCAGTGACAAAAATCATTAACTAAGTGTCAAGATGTTAAGAGCATCTAGACCATTTGATGTTGGTGTGCAGTTGCCTTCTCAGCAACCTCTTTTTTTTTTCCCCCCTTCAAATTTGTCAGCTGAAAATGTTTGCCTGCCAAATTATGATAACAGTCTGCCTTCCATCAGTCTTTGGAAGTCTACAACTTGAAGGAAAATGAAGTAGGACATGGGGATCCTTGGCTGAGTTAAGGTCCAGAAGCTGCCCTTGTCCCAAAATTGAGATTTACCCAAATTCTCTTCCCCTGGCCCAGCAGACACCTCCAAAAGTAATGTTCAGATGATATAGACTGTGTCCACATTTGGTTTTGTAACATAGTGCTAAATATGCTAAGTGATGTTTCCTTATTAATAAATGTTTTTCTGCAGCTTTTGTTAGAATACTTGTTTCACAAGAAGAAAAGACTTGATGGAACTGTTCATATTGTATTTTCCTATGACAGCTGAAAGTATTTAGAAGTCATAAAGGGAGTGCTGGGACATCAGCTTTGGGTTGGCACACCTGGTCTCTAAGTCTTTGGAATGTTTTTGTTTTCATCTTTCACTTACACTATGACTTCTCCTGAGTAGTTGAAACATGGTGTCCTGGATTTATTTGATACCTTAGACACACACTAAAAAAATGTACTACAGACCCTGACTTCCAAAACCTTGAGCAGGCATCCCTGAGGAAATGTTACTTCATGGGACATCAGAACAGGACGTTTTATCCTGTATTTCAATAAAACTTATTGTCCTCTCCAGGCAATTAGAAAACTGGTTTATACTTTGTAGACAGGCACACCTATCTTAAGACGTTGATTCAGGTTTCTGTTTTAAATAATATTCATGAAAATACAAAAAAATTTGTGTGTTTGGTATTGTCAGCCTTACGGAATGAGGCTACCGTGAAAGCTTAAGATAGATCAAAAATACAGTAAGCAAATCAAATTTTACCTGTTCTGTTCTGTAAATTGGTGCATAAGTAGTCCAAGTTCACAGCTGACCTTCAGTGTGTAACTGGTTTCATACAATGTTCCTGGGCTACTTCATAATGATAATTATGGTCCAGCAGTGCTGGAGTTGGCAGCACAAGCTCTTAAAATAAAACACAGCAGAGCAGAGTTCATACATCATGGTGTTGTTACTGGCATAGAATTACCACGCTGAGAGATTGTAAGTGGTCTCATTTATGTCTTTAACATTTGTTTTCCTGTTCACAATTCCTTTCTTCAGCTTCAGACCCTGATTCAGGAAACAGACCCCGGTGCCGATTATCGCATCGACCGCGCGCTGAACGAGGCCTGCGAGTCAGTGATACAGACAGCCTGCAAGCACATACGGTCTGGAGACCCCATGTAGGTGCCTCTCAGTCAGAACTGCGGCTTTTTTCCCTGTTGGGCATCCATGAAGGTTGTGTGGCTGACCAGTAGAGACACTAAAACCTATGCAGACTAGTTAGTCCAGACCAGTCATACAGAGCTGCACTGAGATGTCTCCATTCTTGCTGTACAAGAAGGCCAGTATTTTTATAGGAGGACTGATTTAGCACTGGTGAAGGATGTAGCCTTCACAGGCACTTAGACTTAAGTTTGTAACATTTGATGTCATAATTTCTCTAACCATGTAAGTCTCAAGCAATATCACAAATTGACAAACCTGGAAAGGCCAGGTAAGCAAACCCATACAGCAGTGATAGGTGTCTCCTTTGTCTTCAGCTCTGATAATGTATTCTGCCCTGGGCCAGATTTTCTGTGGAATACTCCTTATGATTTTGTTGTGTATCAGACTTGCTGAGATAAGTAAAACAATGGAACATAATGAATACAAATCTGATATATACTTGTTTTGGATGTAATCTTTTTGAAGGAAGAGAAAGATCTTCACTGAGTTTCAATATCTTATCTATGGGTGACTGGAAGACTGATTTGGCAACACCAGCTGTTACAGGGAAGCTCAGCATGATTTTAACAGTCTGGCCTGGCTTTTTCTTCTGTTTGCAGGATTCTGTCTTGCCTGATGGAGCACTTGTATACTGAGAAAATGGTAGAAGACTGTGAGCATAGGCTCCTGGAGCTCCAGTATTTTATATCTCGTGACTGGAAGTGAGTACTGTGAAACAAGATTTATCTTCACTTGGTGTTTGTATTAAGTGTTTGTATGCATTAGCAGTTGCTTGTAAAACAGTATAGCTTGTGGTTGTTCAGAAGAGGACTTTCAAGTATGCCAGGTCAGCAGAGTGTTAATGCTTGTGTGGAACACTAAAAGCAAAAGTTGCTTAGAAAAGGTGTGATTCCACTTAAATCAGGTACTCTTTTAGAAGTGATGCAGCCTTAAAAAGTTCTCAAGTTTGAGCTCTAAAATTCATTGCATCTTTAATTAAATAATTCTGTCTGACCATATTGAAGCTGAAAGTCACTTTCTCTGCAGGTGGCAGCCAGTTGTTTCCATTCTGTAGCCAAGTGCTACAGTACGGAACTTAAGGAAACCAAGTTTTTTAAGTATAACAAAAACTCACTGTGTGAGAAGCTTCCTGCCTCCATCTGCTTTTTTTCAAATTCTCTGAGTGTGATTACAGCCTGTAGAGCAGATGTAATACCCTTCAGAGCACTACTTTTCCATCTTTCTTATCCAGAGGTGGCAGTGCTTTGTTTTAAATACATACAAAGCCTCTTGTGTCAGTGTTGGTTAGGATGAGGAGAGAATAAATTTGATAAACGTGACCAGTGAGGAAAGAATAAGTGTTTGGCTTGTCTTCTAAAGAAGATTGAGAGGTGAGGAAATAGAGTACATTAAATGGGGTTGCTGCAAGAAATTGAATAATTGTTCTCAGTGGCCACAAAGAGTGTAAGGCAAGAAGTCCTGGGCTTTGATTACTGCAAGGAGTGTTCAAATCAAACATTAAGAAAATCTTGACTCAGAGCAAGTCATGTATTTATGGACAGCATTGCCAGTAGCTGAGAGCTGATGTGCTCTGTGATCCTTCTGCTTTTAAAGATGGGGCTTCGTAGAGCAGGGAGTTTAAGGTTTTTTGGCTGTTCATTTAGTCATCTTAATAATTATCTCCATAGGCAGACAAGAATACTAAATTTTTCCCCCCTTCCTGTTTATCTTCATTGCTGGGTCTCCTGGCTGTATTGTTTCCGGCAGGTAATTCATTGTTTGAGTCACACTTAAGTGATTGGAAGAAAGAAGACTGATTATTTGCATTTTCCTGGGAGTAAGAATAATTCTAATTCATAATGCAGGCTGGGCAGCATTAGCTTATCTTTGTTTAACCACTGTTCCCCAGAACTGAATCTGTTGTACTGACTGTGTGCCTCAGACAGATGCACAGAGTACAAGGAGTTTTGTTGATACCTTTATCATTATCTGTATAATTGTGTGCACTGGAATCACTTGATATTTTTTTCCTATAGTGTTTTACAAATACAAAATTTCCATTTTGGAAGGCTAGCAATATCTCACTTAGATTTCATGTAATTATACATCTTAAGAGATCTGCACTTCCATGCAAAGCAGGGGGCACTGAGTTTGCAGTTGGCTCAAATCCAGGGAAGACAGAATCAATCCAACTCAGATTTTTATGGAAATGGTGTTTCAGAATTGCAGCAGTACAAAGTAAGTGTAAGATTACACAAGCAAAATGTGGTATTTACCTTCCTTTCTGCTGCTTCAGGGCATCAAGGAGATGATTTCTTTTCTCTTGTGTCAGCATTTGGCTGGCATACTGCAGAAGAAAATGGGAGGTGCTTCAAGAAGTGTTGAAAATTTGATCTGTAATTCAAGATTTTGGTGTTATTTAGGGAGTTGATTCCAAATTGAGTTAAGGCCACCTGTTGGTTCAGTTGGTCAGACACTGCTGCTGAATGGTGTCTTGGTGGTGCCTGAAACTTGAAGTGGATTTTCTGCCTCCAGAGCATTTTGGGATATGAAAAACATTCCATGTATGAATGAAGTGATAACTCTTGTTTGTGCCGGTGATAACTCTTGTTTGCAGGTTGGACACAGTCCTTTACCGCAAGTGTCAGGGGGATGCCTCCCGCCTCTGCCATACCCATGGCTGGAATGAGACCAGTGAGCTGATGCCTCCAGGGGCTGTTTTCTCCTGCTTGTACAGGCATGCATACCGCACAGAGGAGCAGGGAAGGAGGGTGAGTGCTAATGGACACCTTGTTGATCTGTGGTAGAAGGGTTGCACTTCCAAACACGTGTTTGGAAGTTTGACGTGCAATGCTAAAACTGCCAGAACTTAGACAAGCTACTTTAAATCATTTCCTGAAGGTGGTAGTTGCACTGCTTTGTGTGCCCAGCTCATCCTCAAGGGTGCCCTGAAGGTCTAGCTGATTGTTCTGGTAAGCAAAGTAGGCCCAGCAGGATGACTGACCCATGTCACAGGCCCGTGGGGACAACTGTGTGCTGACACCAGCTTACATTTCTGTTCAAACCCAGTACAAGTCCTCCCTTATGTCTTTCCAAAGAGGAATGTGGTTCCTTGCAGATAGCCAGCATAGATGCAAAATTGGTTTTATGCAAAAATGAGTTTCAAGATCAGCTTTCCTTGGCTGTTGCTACTTAAGTTTTGATTTTTGCCCAGCTTCAGATTATATTCCATTTGGTTCTTCCTATTGATATAATGCATCCTTCCAGTTCTTTGGAGCATGCTGTACTGGTAAATGTGCTTATGCTGTCTTTAAAGACGACAGTGGGGATCTGACTTGCTGCCCTGCAGTCTGGAGATCCACCATAGTTGCATTTGTGGTTGAGAATTGCTCTTTTCAAGTTTGCTGCCCTCTCGTGCCTTTAGCAGGGCACTCAGATGAAAGCACCTGGGTACTCATTTCCATTTCTTTTGGCACTGTAGTGTACACAGTCCCTAGGAGTTGATGGTTTTACACAATGGCCCAGTTTAAAAATTAATTTCCACAGCTTGATTTAGAAGGTCTTTTGTGGCAGAGGTCAAGTATTGATTGGAAGCATCTCTTTTAGGAATAATTTTTTTTAATGCAGTGTCTTAGTCTGCTGAGTTGAGACTTTTTCATTCCATTTTATATTAGTGCTGACCAAAGAAATCAATAGCCACCCTGCAAATAATCTATCAGAGAGAGAAAAGGTTTTTAAATGTGTTTTTCTTTTGGAAAGTAGGCTAAGGGAGCAGCTGTCATTTTGAAATTTAGTCTTGGAAGCAAACCCATGGGAGGTTAGGCCTGTTGACAGAATGCTAGGTAACTTCCAGGGGTTTGGATTTTTAAATGTATGGAGCTTTAAGCTTCAACTGGTGCATTTTAGGTTGGATAAGCACCACACCAGTATCCCTTGGTTTCTTACAGTTTGTTTCTTCCTGTCTTGCAAGTGCTGACTCTGCTGTGGTGGGGATTGCTGAGCAGAAACTGCAGCTGGACTATGTTACCTTATTCTGGGCTTCCCATTTGGTATTAAGGGCGTGAGCAATTTTGACTTTCTTCTCCACAATTGGTCTGTAGCCTTGGGTGAAGGTGTAGCAGATAGCCTGGGGACCTGATCTGGTATCTCTTTCATTAAGCCAAGTAGAGGTTTAAAAATATAAAATTAAACTTAGTGGAATGAGAGGAGCATCTATCTAAACTAAATGACAGAGCTTTAAGCTCTTTTGGAACCCTAATTTCTTGTGGGGGCCCTGGCAGGCCTATGCTGAGCAGTGAGGACTTCTGTGCCTTCTGGGACTGATGATGGCATTTGTGGTCACTCTCAGAACCTTACCTGACAGCATCGTGTTTGCCCTGTGTGGATTTAGGGACTCCATATGCCAAACACTCCCTGTTCTCTTTGCAGCTATCACGAGAGTGTAGAGCAGAGGTGCAGAGAATCCTCCATCAGCGAGCCATGGATGTGAAGCTGGACCCAGCCCTCCAGGACAAGTGCATGATTGACTTGGGAAAGTGGTGCAGTGAAAAAACAGAGACAGGGCAGGTACTGTACACAATATCATTGCTACTTTGTTTGCAAAGCTGGAAGGGTGAGAAGGACATAAAGGGGATAAAAGGATGTCTTGCTGCCTCTTGATAGTGGAGAACGTGTTAAAAACTAGTGCAGTTTGAAACACAATCTGCACCAGACTGAGACAGGAGGTGCAAAAAAGCTTTGCGTGTTCAGATGTTAGTGGAATGAGAAGGGAGAAGGGGATAGTTTGCAAAAAGGGCTTTAAAGAAGCAACCCTACCCTCAACCTCTTACTTGTAATATTCTGTTACAAGCTTGATATTTCCCACGTAAACTTTATCCCATTTCCATTTGGCAAATACTGACATGCTTCCTGTGTTTATACAGAACTGTACTAACATCTGCAGCTACTTAACAAAGTTTCAGCAAATACTTTCATGTTAAATTGTTGTGCCTGGAGGGCTGTAGTGAAGCATTCTGCAGCAGATGCTGTAGACACCAGTGTCTTTCTGAAGTGCCCATCATAGGCTGGGTAACTAACCTCTCTTTAAGGTTATGGAAAGGGCAAACTAAATGGGATATTTCAGAAGTGAAAGTACATCATGCAGCTTTTGATAAAAGTGGTAAGGTAACATTCTAGACCACCATTTTCAGTCATTACTAGGTATGTGTGTTCTGGGAGTGCTAGTAGAGGAATGGGATTAAATAAGATTTAGGACTTTACAAAAAGGAGGGCAGTTTCACATGTGTAACAATGTTTTAAGCCCAGAATTTCAGCTTGCATTCTTGGATCACACACTAAAATGTCTGTTTCTGTAGGAGCTGGAATGCCTTCAGGACCATCTTGATGACTTGGTGTCTGATTGCAGAGACATAGTGGGAAACCTCACTGAGCTGGAGTCTGAGGTGAGTGGATTTCAGCCTGGGGTAAAGGGAATAGATGAGCATGTCTAGTTAAGCATTCCATTTTAATAATGATGAAGAAACCTGAGGTTAGAGGAGCTGTAGAAATGCAGCTAGGATCTGGCATCAAAATACATCCTTTTTACCCCATAAAATAGAAGTTTTCCTGGAGGTTCTTGAGGAAGAAAAATTAACAACAGTTCAGGATTTTAGGCTGTTGATGGCATATCTCCTGCTTTAAAGGTCACTTATGGTACTAACACTAAGATTTGCACAGGAACCCAGTAAACTTTAACACAAGTCAAGATATGTGATGGGTCTTGAGATTTTGGTCTTGCTTGCAAGTAGTTTTGAGTACTGTATTGCAGCTTCCCTCCCAGTCACAAAAATTTGGCAGGCAATAACCACCAGGTACATCAGTAGAGATTTCCAGTGACGTTGGCAGCTTTATTTCTTTTATGAAGCTGCATATTTGACTGTCGAGACCCAGACTGTTCCCCACATCTCGTAAAATTTACACTGTGCCCTAGGCACAGTTCCCTTCCAGTGGTTAGAAACTTGGTTTTCTCAGAACTATGCCAAATCTTCAACTCCTGCCTAGGTGTAAGGTGATTTGTAATGCTCTAGCACCTAGTTTGGAGGAGGATGGCTGAATTATCCAAGCCAGGAGTTTCTGTGGAGCCCAGGCTCTTCCCTTAAGTGGGAAGGCTTGTCTTGCATTTGCCACGTTGGCAAGAGTGAACCCCAGGATTTCCAGAGCTAAAGGGCAAAGCTGTCTGGATTGCATTTTTCAAAACCCTGTAAACTGGGTTGAGTTTGAGTTGTTATCACAGTTTTTTTCCCAGAGTCTTTTTCTCTTGTGCATTCACTGTGAAAATGAAAACCTGTATTTTCTGCAGGACATTCAAATTGAAGCCTTGCTGATGAGAGCATGTGAGCCCATTATCCAGACATTCTGTCATGTGAGTACACTGTAATGTGTGAATATCTTTGAGGAAAAACTCAGTGGGAATGGTTAGAGAGTTTTAGTATTAGCTCTTGTTACACATCAAAAGTAAAATCAGAGGTAATAATTTCCAAAAGTCTTCAATTAAAATATCACCTGAAATAAAAATTCTTAGTTCTACCTAATGTTTCTGCTGTTGTCAGAGCATAAAAGCTAATCTGAAGATGAAAATTGCTTTGTAATTGGCAAAAATCACTCTTTACAGTGAGTTAAATACTAGACTGTTTTCCTTCACCTTTACATGCAGGCCTGTCTAGCCATTGTACTCTCTGCAGCTGCTCAGCACTGCTGAAGTAACTTCACTGATGTAGGGCTGAGTAGTTAAAGAGCAGTGAAGGCACCTAGTTATAATATGTCACGTAAGCACTAAGTCTTTGCAGTGTGTTCTCCTGAGTCTGAAGTGTGTATGTTTCTGAGATGGTTCTTTCCTGAACTGTATAAACAGGTTGTGTGGTGTAACTCGAGGGTGGTCAGTTAATAGTGAGCTCACCATGGAGAGTGGAACTCTAAGTTCCATATTTCCTGGTCACAGTGGGCTAAAAGAATATAAAACCCATGACTTGTAAAAGCAGTTTATTTTTATGCCTTTCATCTCTTCTTCAGGAGGTTGCAGATAACCAGATTGATTCTGGGGACCTGATGGAGTGTCTAATACAGAACAAACACCAGAAGGAAATGAATGAAAAATGTGCAATTGGTGTTACTCATTTCCAGCTGGTGAGCAACGCTTTTTTCTGCTATCAGTGGAAGCCTGTTCTGTTCTTTCAGGGTGTTGCTGGGAATTAGCTAATTATGAAATTAGCTCCTTCTTTGAAATTGATTTTTCACTGTATTTAAAGAGCTCTTGTGAATTCTTACAATTGTTTTTGCATGCCTGGTCATAAATGGTCACTTTTGGAGATGATTTCTTTTCAGCCCTTTGTTTCTCCCTGGTATTTGGTAGACAGGGTCCCAACTTCTTCAGCAGTGCAGCTTCCACATTGCTAAGTTTGAACAAAAGTGCAAAAGTGTGTGCTAATTGTGTGATTCAACAAGTGTTCTTTTGGCCAGCACTTTGCTTTTTTTTTTTTTTTTTTTTTTTAACTCTGGATGCCCAAAGTTCTTTTTCTCCTCATTTCTCTCGTGCAGGTTCAAATGAAAGATTTTAGGTTTTCGTACAAGTTCAAAATGGCTTGCAAGGAGGATGTGCTGAAACTGTGCCCCAACATCAAAAAAAAGTATGCAGTGCCTGCCCAAACAGCAGTCTGGTTGTATAAATATGTAGTTAAGTGACAGGGTATTTCATTATAGAACGGAAAATGCTGGACTTCCTTTAAAGGCTGATTAGTTTGTATGTGTTCCCTTAGTGACTGTGTTCTGCAGATGCTTAAGGTAGAGGTCTGCCTCTTAAAATTACTTCTGCTTTACTCCTGGATAGAAGCCTGTCCTCTTTATTTTACTTGCTGTGAAATGAGCTAATTATTACAATTAGTGGATTGCATGTCCCAGAATGTCTTATATCCTTACTAGATTCATTGTCTTCCAAGAGGCAGACTACTTTTGTTCTAGCTGCTGATCTGGGAAAGGAAAATCTCCCACTTGTTTTGTCTGGTTTATTCACTACAGTCTAAGGGATTTTTTTTGTTGTTGTCCTACTGCAATAGTGTAAGGCTAAATTACATACAAGGTCAGTCCTGTTTGTGGATAGCAAGACTATTTGCATTTTATGAGGTAAATGCCCTTCCCATAGAGTAAAAGGATTGCTTGCAATGCTATGTAGGTGTTCACCATCATCTATTTCTGAGATGAAGCAAAGCTTTTCTAAAGTGCTGACATGACTTAAGAGGAGAAGTCTTGCTGGGCAGAGGGATTGGTGGCATTTTGAATGTCTTCCTGTCTGCTGATTTAGACTCCAATTTAGGTTTTAATTGCGTTACAGTTACTCTGCACAGGACTGTACCCAGAAGTAAGCACAGATGCACAAGAATTTTATACTGTGTATGGATTATTGTATTCAGTTTCTCTGATGTGATAATCTAATATCAACCCTGGCTGGTCTTAGTGAAGGATGTATGAATGAGAAGCTGTTTTCTTTTCTGCAGGGTGGATGTGGTGATCTGTCTGAGCACAACTGTGCGCAATGATACTTTGCAGGATGCCAAGGAGCACAGGGTCTCTCTGAAGTGCCGCAAACAGCTGCGTGTTGAGGAGCTGGAGATGGTAAACATGCCTGAAACTCTTGTCCTCCCCACTCTTGCAGTGAGGTCCTTCAATTAAAGATTTCTGGTTTGTCCACCTTTGGGGGAAAAAAAGGAAGCTTGTTTGTAAGATGTATCTTATTTATTTTTCCCCCTTTTCTTATAAGGGCTCAATTGCCCTTCACAGTGAAAGTGCTGATTGTCTGCTTTAATGCCTTAAATATAGTCTCATGAAGGCTAAGGCAAGTTAAATGGTCATTGGAGTTTCAGCTAGAAGTGATTATGTTTAGTGTTAGACAGCAACGTGCTACACATTCTGATGTCCTTAACATCCTCTAGGAGAGAACAAAAGCTCCATTTTACAGACTGAGGAAACAAGCACAGATGAAGCAACTCGACTCCAGCTGCTTCAAGTTGCTCAGTGGATAAATAGGAGTAGTGTTTGTTCTGGTAGGCAAAGCTGCCTCTCAACTTCCTGCTGCAGTGCTTGCAGTAATAAACTCTTAAGGTCTTTGTCTTGTAGATACTGTTTAATTGTCAAAGCTTCACCTTAAGTAGATCCATGTCGGAAGAGGCAGCACTCTTGCCTCTGTATGGAAGAATTCAGATGTTGGGCATCACCAAAACCAGGAAACTTCATTCACATCCTCCAGATCACCTAGCTGGGTGGCTGTTAATATGTCCTTTAGCTTTCATGTGAAAAGATTTTAGTTGGCTTGAGCAGTTGTGATGATGCCCTTTTAGGAGAAGCATTGGAAACAACTTGCTAGCTCTATAATTTGATTTAAACACTTTCTTCAGTCTAAAAAGCTGAGAGGTCGCTGCAGGGAATTCCAAAGTTGATTTCCTAACACTACTTCTCACACCCAAGACCCTTATATTCAAAGAAACTCAATGCCTGTTGTGAGGGTTGCTTACTTTTTGTGAGTAGAGGTCTTCAGTTAAGAGGTTAAAAAAGTGAAATAGTCTCGAGTCCTACTTTAAGGCTCATGTTGTAATTTTTCCTGCAGACTGAGGATATCAGACTTGAACCAGAACTGTATGAGGCTTGTAAAAGTGACATCAAGAATTACTGCCAGAATGTGCCCTATGGCAATGCTCAGGTAATGGAATTTATTAATAATTTACAATTTAATTTGTACTTTCATTTCAGGAAACTTTCGAAGAACACTTCTGCCTGTGTAAGTGCAGCTTGAGATTTTCATTTTGATATCAGTCAAATATTTTGGTAGTACTTTGGAATGTTAATTTCTTTTCCACTGGCCCACAAGCATTTATACTGGGTGAATGCGATGCTGTGAGCCCTTCATTCTTCAGTTTATGCTGGTGTTAAGCTATTAGCAGCTGTTTACTGCAAATGTTGCTTAAGATTTTGTAGGCATTATGTCTGCAGGATGAGATTTGTGGTTCTGGAGTAAGTCCAAGAGACCCTCTTCAACTCATTAAATCTTTGTGAGAAAAGAGGAGCTTAAAGCAAGTCCTGGAAATAAGCATTGGTAATGACTTTGATAAAATCTAGGGAGCTAAACTGCCCAAATGAGATGAAGGATTAGGGGGAGCACATGGCTGTGTATGACAGGATTATACCAAGTGTGTCCATTATGCCTGCAACATTGTGTTGTAGATTATTGAATGCCTGAAAGAAATCAAGAAGCAATTGAGTACACGCTGCCACCAGAAGGTGTTTAAACTGCAGGAGACAGAGATGATGGACCCAGAACTGGACTACACACTCATGAGGGTCTGCAAGCAGATGATCAAGGTAATGGTAGTGTGCTCATTTAAGAGGGTGAGTTGGGATATAAGAACTCTGTCAGTTTTGAGCTTCCCATAAAGGCTTGTTATAACATTGCTGTGCTTTTTTCAGAAATATGATTGCATTTTTGCAAAGTAATCTGTTTCTTAACGCTGAATCGGGCTGAGGTTTCTTCAGGGCTCTTCTCTTTCAACTTCCTGATCAAAGCCTGTGCACTAATAAATTTGTCTTCCCAACTGCCAGCAGAATTGATGAGGGAAACTGTGCTGAGGCTCCTAATACAGTTCTCATCCAGTCAGTTTGGATTTGGCTTGGCTTTTAGCAAGGGTGAAGAAGTTATGATTACAGAGAAGAGTAAAATCTTCAGTTCACTGCTGACCTGGTGCACACAGTCTTTTATCAAACTGATAGAGCAGGCAAAATCATGTATAACTTCAAATTAAAAATGAAAGCTGGAAGTGGCACCATGTAGAAAGCAGCAGTGAATGTTCATATAAGACACTCTTTCACAGCAGCCAGAATTCCAGGCCCTGGAACACTAGTATTTGTGGTCTGTATGCAGTGACTCCATATTTTGGCTGATGAAGAACATCCTGAGAGTTATTTGTTCTCCAGTTCAGACACATGTTTTTGAAAAGAGATCTGTGATCTCATCAAAGTAGTGAGGATTTGAAGATGCAAGAACCTTATCTTACACCCACAGAATTAGTTTCTAACAAAAGAAATTAGTACCTTGGTCTGAATTTTGGGTAAGCTGGTTAACTTTTGACTGTCTGATTAAAGGTGAGAGTGGGGTGATTATTGTAATTAACTCCTCTCTGCTTTCTCCTTGTGTGTGGTCTTAGTTTGCCCTGAGTGGTATTAATAAAGTCTTTACCATTGCATTGTCCAAGCAGCATTTACACAGGACAGCAGTATGTGCATAGACTTAAAAGATTGGTTTTTTAGTTTCTAAAATAAGTGGGAAAAAAGTAGTTGATATGAGACCTAATTGGTGGGTGTTTCTTTCCAAGTGTACTGTTTCTTAAGAATAGAAAATAAAGGCAATTTGCTTTTGATAAGGCCAGTCAGGACTGTACTGTACAGCTCAGTGCTCAGTCCCTAAGCAGAGACGTCAATTCCCATAGTCAATTCAGAGAGTAGCACTGAGATGTTGGAGCTAGGCAGGGTGGCTGTATACCTCTCTGTTGGGCAGGTGATTATTCCCTTCCATTAATTGGAAGCTGCTTGTTGTGTTTGGGTTTTGTTTTTTTTCAAGTGCTTTTAGTGATGCAGCTTGTTGGGTTTTGGGTTTTTTTTTGTAGCGGTTTTGTCCAGAGGCGGATTCAAAAAACATGTTGCAGTGTTTGAAACAAAACAAGAACAGTGAAGTGATGGATCCTAAATGCAAGCAGATGATTACCAAGCGCCAGATTACACAGAACACAGGTATCTTCTTCTGAAATAAACCAGAACTTGCTTGCCTGAGGTGTTCTGCATGACTGGAAGAGTATTAGTTTTGTTTTATATTCCTTTGGTGTTTTCTGTGTACACACTGACCTTTGCCAATTTCTCGAGGGTCAGCATGTGTTGTTGAATCCTCCTTACTCCTGAAGCTCTTCGCTCACAATTTGAAATTCTGTTATGAAAAAAATACTATTTTCCCCAAAACTTATGCTCCTTAATGGTATAGCATCATCCAGGAGAGTTCTATGCCATCTCTTTTGGAGTGTTGTGTTCTGTAATCTGAAGAGATGTGTGCTCTAATGAAATTCTGTCATCTCTCCTGGTTAGATTACCGCTTAAACCCCGTGCTCAGGAAGGCATGCAAAGCAGACATACCAAAATTCTGCCAAAATATCCTGAACAGGGCCAAGGATGATACGGAGTTGGAAGGTCAAGTCATCTCATGCCTGAAGTTGAAATACGCAGATCAGGTGAGTAGAACTGGTGCCTGCAAAAGAGAAAATGTGCAGATCATGCTGATCAACTGTCATTGAATGACAACTCAAACTTGGACTTGTGGGGTGTTCAACGTATATAACAGGCTAAAGGTGGTTTTTATGTTCCTATAGAAATACTAGAGAATACAGGTTAATGTACAAGGGAGGTTGATTTCCACTGAGTCAGTTAATGACTTTCTCCTCCAAACAGCGTCTCTCTCCAGACTGCGAGGACCAAATTCGAGTGATAATCCAGGAATCAGCCCTTGATTATCGGCTGGATCCCCAGCTTCAGATGCACTGTTCTGATGAGGTAGGAGAGGAACTCCGTAGCTGCTTTTTCAGGATGAAACCTCACTTCATGTAACAGGTTTTCATTTCTCAGAACATGCTTTCCTAATAAGTAAAACAAAAAAATCCCTTTGAGCTGCTTCTAGCTAGTCAGATTCTCTTCTGTGACTTTTGTCCAGTGCACAAGAGTTGCAGTTTCCTGTGCAGTGCTAATATGAAGTTAATTATTTCATCTGGCATCTTATCAGTACTTGTGACTATGGAAAACGACTTCTTTGCAGTAGTCAAAAAGAAGTCAGTTCTCTGGTCTTGTCAGCATTAACTGGAACACAGTCAGGCTTTTTGCGTTTTCACTTTTGGTAACAGAGTTGGTCATGCTTCAAGTGTTACTTATTTCATACTTTCACATTCCTTCCATGCTGTTTTCTTCCCTGCCCTCCTCCTCAGTACAATGATATTGACTTCTTGCTGCTGGCTTTCAGAGGGTTATGCATATTGCATGAGCCAGGCTGCATTTGGCTTTGGGGATTTTGGGGGGGAAAGAATCTCATCATGTATTCTTCAGCTGCACCCTGTGATGAACTAACATATTGAGATATAAAAGTGCTAAAAGGCAAGAATGATTGTTGTGAACTACTTATGTTAAAACACCTCTTTCAAAATAGATTTCCAGCTTGTGTGCAGAAGAAGCAGCAGCTCAGGAGCAGACTGGGCAGGTGGAAGAATGTCTGAAAGTGAATCTTCTGAAAATAAAAACTGAGATGTGCAAGAAGGTAAAGAAAATAAATTGGATGTGGTCTAAAAAGCTTCCATCCCTGCACAAGTCTGTGATTTTTTTCCAGATCACAGCCTAGGTCATGTTCTAGCTAGTATGAGGCCAGAATTATGAAATTTCCCTATCTCGGTTCTGGCCTGCAGTGATTCAATTCAATTTCAATTTGCCAGTGAAAATTATGTTGAAAATTTCTCCTTTGCAATTCCAGACTTGAATCCTTTCCTGATGATGGTTGCCAAAGGTTCTTGTTACTACCCTGTTTCTTGGTGCTGTCTCGGTTGCAGGCCCAGACTGTGTGCTTGAGGGCTGTATGAATTGTGCCTTGACTATGGCACCTGATTCCTGTTCTCACTGAAGTAGTCCTGGCATGCTGACTTTGTCTTTTAGATTAATATGAATATTTTAAGGAATGTTGCAAACCAGGACACTTAATTAAGCCTAAACCAGCATTCATATTATGTCCATATCCATATATATGTCCTTATCCAAGGACAGTGGTGGATTTTCTCACGATCCTGGATTTGAAAAGATGATACACCTTTCAGAGACGTTGATCAGCATGAGTTTTGTTCTGTCTCCTTTTTCTGAGATGTACTTCTGATTTCCTCCTCTGCAGGAAGTGCTCAACATGTTGAAGGAAAGCAAAGCAGATATCTTTGTTGACCCAGTGCTCCACACAGCCTGTGCCCTAGACATCAAACACCACTGTGCCGCCATCCCACCAGGGAGAGGACGCCGTAAGTGCTTGTGCTGTACTTGTGTAACCTCTCAGTCTTGAAATACTTAATCTGCATTTTTACCAGCGTCTTCTTACAAAATGTTACGTCTGTGTCTTGTATGAGCATTTAAACGAGCTTATGAGTTAGTTGGCCAAGCCCCTCTCTAGGCACTAGAACACTGTGATCCCATTTCCTTTTCACAAAACTGTGTGAAAAGTCAGGAAGTTAAACCTTTCAAAATGTATTGTTGTTCAAAAGAAACGCCTAACAAGCCTAAGGAGATAAGGCTGTGTTTTTTCTGAACTGAATTTGATCTTAGCTCTTTCTAAATTCTGGTGGCATGGAGTTCAGAGTGTACAGCTTATTAAAGGTGCAGATTTATAAGACTTCATAAAATCTAATGTAAACCACATGAATTATATATTGGATACGTACTCTAGTTTCTTTTTGGAAGTCAAAATTCTTTGCATCTCCAAATGCAATACTGATTGTGAACCTTGGTGAAATTGCTAGCTTCAGGCATAGTCTGCCAGGTCTGTTTTGAAAGCCTTGTAACCATCAGCCTTCATGAGAATGGAAGAGCCCCTCTCTGCACCATATTATCAAAGCCACTGTTTCTATTTTGTAACACCATCTTCTGCACATTACAGAAATGTCATGCTTAATGGAAGCTCTGGAAGATAAGCGTGTGAGGTTGCAGCCTGAATGCAAGAAACGCCTTAATGATCGTATTGAAATGTGGAGCTATGCTGCAAAGGTAAATATGTAAACGATTTCCATTTTTTTATGCCTTAGATCTCTCTGTTGCAAGGTGTTTATGAAAAACTTCAACTGTAATGAAGTTCTTGTTTCCAAATGAAGTTTAGTATTTTGAGTTTGGTCCAGAAAAACTGAAATCAGGTTGTCTTCTAGGAACTTACATCTTGTTTTCTCTGTATCTCGGATGCATCCCCAACATTGCAGAATTAAACTATCTTCTGTGCACACCGGACTTAGTCTCCTGTGGAGAAGGTGTGGGGCAGTGAAACAGGGGCAGGAAAATTTCCTGTTATAAAGGTGCCTCCTGAACATCAGTTCCTTCAGATGAATCATTGCAGGCCTGCTTTTTTTCTGGTTCAGGCCAGTTCTAGCAATGACAGGACACTGCAATAGCAGTACCAGACACTGAAGCTGGTAAATATCATGGCTGAGGGTTGCATGGAAAGCACAGCTTGGCTCATTTATTCCCTTTTCACCTCCAGGTTGCCCCAGCAGAAGGTTTTTCTGACCTTGCCATGCAAGTTATGACCTCTCCATCCAAGAATTACATCCTGTCTGTGATCACAGTTGGCATCTGTGTACTCTTCCTCATCGGCCTGATGTGTGGACGCATCACCAAGCGGGTGACAAGAGAGCTCAAGGACAGGTAGAGCCTGGATTGCCTGCTGAAGAAATGCCTGCCCAGTGCCCAGTTTTGTACAGCCCTCCTCTGTATAGTCTACCCACCCCTCTTGTGAGAGGAGAATTAAAAAAAAAAAAATTTAAAAAAAAAAAAAAAATTAGAAAAGCAGCAGGTGTTGGCTCAGTTTTCCCATCCTGGATCTCATCCATGGCATCTTCATCCTATGAAAGTTTGTGTGCAACACTGGCAGCCCAGCCAGCAGCTTTTGTTACCCCTTTGTTAGCAGACTCTCGTTTACCTGCCTGTAGACAAGTCTCTGTTGTACTGTTGGAACTGCCTTCACTCTCCAAATCAGACTGATATGACCTGCAGCTCAGCAGTTTTTAAGTAAATTTTTAAAGACAGACATATTCTGCATACCGACTGTATGATTTAGGTAATGGTTCATACTGAAATCTAGTCATCCTCTGTGGCTGGGTGAAGTTGAGGCAGGAAATTAAAGGGTAAATTGCATCTTACACCACAGCTGGCCTTGTTTTGGACATCTTGCTCGTCTGTGTAAAGCATCTTCAGAGCATAGTCTTGGACAACCTAAGGACACCAATCACTGGTGTCATCTCCTAGTGAATATCCTGCTTATGTGACTGTGGATTTTTTTGGCTGAAAAGATGTTCTTCCTCTGCTGCTCGCAAGATAGAATAAAATGCTGACCAGGATTGAATACTCATGTGAGCTATACAACTTGTGTTTCAGTAGATTAAAGACACGATGTAGACACGAGGTATGTAGAGCCTGTCAGTAGTGAACAGTGTCAGTGGGCAGGAAGTGCTGTGAGCAGTTACTCAGTCAACTTTATTAGCAATGATGCAGTAAAATTCTAACACTCCTTTTTTTTTTACCTTGCTACTGCTAAGCTGTTACCCTCCCAAATTAACTGTGTGCAGATGGTACTGACACACTGGCAGTTCAGTGCTCTGTCAGTGATGCAGAAAGCACCAGAACACCCAACATGCTCTCTCTCTGTGTAACGGTTACTCATGGATTAGCACAGTGGTTTGTAACCACACTCTGGGTCTTAATGGTTTTCATCTCCACAACTACAATTGATGGTGATAACACCTGGCATTTTCCTGGGGTGTAGGACACGGGTGCTTGTCCTGCCAAGCAGAAGTGGATGGAAGAATGATAGTGTGGTATGAAAGGCAGAAACATCTGGATCTTTAAGGAAAGTAGCTTTTGCATAGTTACCATCAATATGTGCATTTGTGCTATGTATAGTTATACTTCCGGAGCCCAGAGAAGGTGTTTTGGAAAAGCTGCACCAGCAGTTGTGGCCTCTTCTTACCATCATCTGTGTTCCTCAAGTACAAGGAGGTGTGGAGCTCATGAGACAGGTGCTTTGACTGAAACATGGGGTGTGTTGATGAAATCTAGAAGAGCCTGCCTGAGAGTCAATGTGTACAGGAGGATATGTTTTATTCACCTTTAGGACGTGCTTACCTATGGGTGTTGTGGTAAAAACCACATGCCTGAAACTGTCCAACTTAGGCTGATGCTTGAACCATATCTTTATTTTCCCACTTAGCACACTGCTATGTAAGACCTGGCATTTCCAGTTCTCCCCATTGTTTTCTAGAAGAACAGTGGAGATGGTTTTGACACACTCTGGAATGTGGACCAGCTGATTTTGGTGATGCTGTATACACAGAATGGCGTATACAAAATATGTGAGCTTTTGCTATGACTTTTTGCTGAAGCTTTTTTCAAACATACCTTCATCCGGCTCTGAGGATGGTGGCAGACTTGTATGGGTTCAGACTTGCTATGCTAGTGAGTCTCAAACACTTCTGGTTTTGTAGTAAAGTACTGTGAACACAAACAAGCAGCAGTGAAAGCCTGAGTGATGAAGTTTCAGTGGAGAGCTAGTGTATGGTAGGATTGCAGTTAAGTGGTGAGATAAAACTGAATTTAAGCCTGAATTCCTTCTCTTGCCCCTCCTCCCTGGTGCTAAGGGAGCTTGCCTGGCTGTCTGTCAGCATGAAGTGGAGCAGAAGAGAAACAGTTAATCGTGTTTCTTGAGGTAGCACAGGTGTATAACTCCACAAATATTAGTTTGGCAATTTTAAGTGTGTGTTGTATCACTTGAGTGAGTGTTGAAATGACTGCTGTCAAGATGGGTGTGCTCACAGAGCTGCCAGCAAGGGAAGTGGGATCTCGGTGCAGCCTTGCTTGCTGGCATGAGTCCTGCTTCTCCAAAATGTCTATATGGAGTAATTAAATTGCCATTGGAGGGCTTTTTTTAAACTGTTGTGACTTTTTGAAAAGGCATTTTGTAACTTGATTAGCTTGAAAAGCCTAATTAGATGGTTTATTGTCTAGAAATAGCATCTTCCACTAAATTCCAAAAGACATTGCAGTGAAAATTGTAGGTTTGTGGCCATAGTTCCAAGTGTAAACCCTGTTCAACTCTGAAGGTGACTTTCTTTACTTTCAGATATAAGGCTTTCTGTATTTTTTAAAAATCCAGAAAGCCTTATACTGAAAGTATAGATAGTCACCTTCCTTTAAAAGGAAATTTTTTCCTTTTAAATTTGGAGGAGGTTATGGTAAGGGTGCCTGAAGCATGGCATTAGGAGTCCATGCTGTACAGTGGTATTAGTCTGTGGTTGGTGGTGTCTCTGCCTGTGTCAGGCTCACAGTTTGTGTGAGTGTGCTGTGATGGTGTTAGAGGTGTGTGGCCCAAAGTCTTTGGAAGAAAAAGTAGGATACTAAATAAACCTTTTGTCACAGTAGACACAGACCCACCTTTTAAAGTTTGGCAAGGGGTCCAGGCCATTTTATCATTGAGTATATTATTTTTTCATGTTTTAAATAGGGGTCTTCTACCACTGGTGATGACCAAATCTGCTTTTTTCCCAACTAAAAATTTACCAGTCACAGTCTTGAAATATTCTCCTCCTTTTCATGCATACCTAAAAATCTAGAGGTTTTGCAAGCACAGAAACCCACAGGAGCACTCTTCCAAAAATAGCCTGGTTGTGCTGTTGCCAACACATCATCTTGCCTGCAGGTAATCATTTTCCACTGCAGGGAAAGAAAGAAAGAAAGAATCATAGAGTCATAGAACAGTTTTGAGTTGGAAGAGACCTTAATGCTCATCTCATTCTAAGCTCTGCCTTGGGCAGAGCACCTTCCACACTAGACCAGAGTACTCAGAGTCCCATCCAGTCTGGTCTTGAACACACCAGGAATGGGGAGTCTGCAACCTCTCTGAGCAACCTGTGCCATTGTCTCAGCACCCTTGTAGGAAGCTGTGAGCAGTGGTTGTAAGAAACACTGCTGTTGCCTTGAATTTGAGAAAGCCTTTTTAACTTCTCTGTTTAACGGAGTTTTAGCAGTAGCTGCAGTCAGCCAGGACAAGTGGGTTAGTGTGGAAGAGCCTGTGGTAGTCTTCCCTCTTTATGACCCTTACCTCTTACTGGAGAAATCTGCCTTCCACTGAATGCAGTTCAGGAGATGGTTGTTGGTTGGGTTTGTTTTTTTTTCCTCCAGATCATCATAAAACCTTCTCTTGGAGAGCTTATTCTAAACTTGATGATGCTGGTGCTCAGGGCATGGATGGAAGAGCTGGATGTTTGTGATCTGGCAAGGCATGCAGCTCTCCCATCTGCTTCCTGCTGCTGCTGTGAGGGTTAACAAGGCTTCCTAAATGATGGCATGTGTGTGTGCACATGTCAGGAACTGTGCATGATGTGCACCTCTACACTCCTGCTAGCCTGTTACAGTTCATTCTCATTCACAGTAATAAGCTTATTTATTGTTTACCTAGTGAGTCTAATCGAGCCCTTTTGAGAGTTTCATCTTGGGATTCTCCTGCCTCACTTTTGTCATTAGGCTGCTGGAGTAACTCATCTGGATGGGAACAAAATTCCTGGCACCTGAGGTACTGCCCACCAGATTGGGTTGAGTATCCGTGTGTCTGTGTCACTGCAAAGGGCTGGAAAGACCCTAGTGAAGGTTGAATAAATCTGTAGCAAAATATTAGCATTTCCTCCAGAATCTGACACTGTGATATAATCAGTGTTGCTCTGAAAGAATCCACAGTTAAGTGCATTGTATGGAAAATAATGGTTGTGACTGTCTCAAGTACAGAAACTAACTGCAGGTAGGTACAGAGGGAAAAAATGTGATAAGCCAGAGGGATCGCTGGAATCCCATAATATTGTAGAGGAATTGTGTTCAAGTTGGATGGTGATTTCTGTTAAAACACAATGTTATTATTTAGTGAAAGAACATTGTAGGGTTTTTTACTTTATTGGTTTTGTTTGGAAAAAAAAAAGGTAGTTTTGAGCTGTGTATGAGTGCACGAGTGTGGTATGTAACCAGAATATTTCATCTAGCACCTCTGTCCCTATTTAAAGTACAGCTCTGTGGACTTAAACAACTGTAGTGTGGGTTTGTGTAAGAGCACGTTCCTTGTTCTGGAGTTCAGATCCTCCAGGCAGCTCCCAGGTACTGATCTTTGCACAGTGTCCTTGTTTGGGAGCCAGATCTGCCCTTTTGCTTCCACCGATGGGTCACGGTTAGGGGGGACCCAAATCGCCCGTGTGCCAGGGCGAATTCAGCTGGCACTGCGCCTTGTCCTGTGCTGGTGGAGTTCTGCACCACTGAGTTCCTGAACGCTGCCCGGGATCGGGAGGTGTAACAGCGTTGCTCTTCGCTAGCCAGAGGCAGGATTTCTCCTTGCACAACACCCAGATTTGATTCCGTAGCTGACCAAACACAAAGATCCCTGCCAGGGTGAATCAGTGCACCCTGCGATCCCAGCCCTGCGTTGACTGAGTTAGATAGAAGCGCTCGCCATGGGAAATACTGAACTAGGAGCAAAGGGAAAGGTGTGCCTGGGCCCGCGGGAGGGAGGATGTCCCGCCGGGAGTGTGGGATGGGCAGGGCTCCCGGCGCCCCGCCGTGTACAGAGCAGACCCAGCGGACTCCTCTTGTACAGCAGATGCTGTTTGAACGTAGTCTCTTTTTTTTATTATTATAATTATTTTTAAATGTGACATTAACGAGACTTTTTTTTTTTTTTTGTAAATTGTTTCCCCTTTCTGTGTATAAATCCTGGCCGCTCCTTGTTTCAGTTGGTTTTTTTTGGTTTGTTTGGTTTTTTTTTTTTTTACATGTCCATGCTGTGTAATTTTGAGATGTTACTGAACTTCTGAACATAATAATGTGCATTTTTTTTTTCTGTACAGATGAAATGGGAGAATTTAATAAAAAGAGTCTGCAGGTTTGTACTTGTGGTGGTTTATTCCTGAGGGGACGCGCGCGGGGTGGGAGGGGCCTCGCTTGACCACGCCCCCGGGGCTTGTCGGGGCGGGTGACGCACGCGCAGGGGCGGCTGTCGCGCGGCGGCCGCGGCCGTAAAGCGCGGAAGGTCAGGCCGGCCTCCCTCTGCCCCACCGGCGGGGGCGAGCAGGCCGAAGCGGGGCCCCCCGGCCCGGGGCTCCCTGACACCCCGCGCCCTGACACCCCTGGCCCTCAGGCTGCCGAGACGGACCGGAGGCTGCGGGTGGGGGAACCTCCGGTGCTGCTGCTGCGGGAGCTGCCGCAGCGAGGCCCTGGGGTAAAGCTTGTGGTAAAGCTGTTCCCGGAGGGGCCTCTCCAGTGCCCTGTGCCAGTTACTCTGACCACAGACTTCGTTTCCTTCTTCAGGTAAAGGCCTGGCAGCGTTAATAATCAAGCTTATTTGTGCCCTAATTACTTCTGGCTTTCGGAAGCATTCCAGAGCATGATCTGTGCCTAATGGCCGTTTCAGCTCTCCTTGTCACTGGTGTGAGAGCTTTTCCACCTTTCGTCTGGTTTTTTGCTCATTGTCAAGTTGCACTGTGTCAAAACCAAAGGTGTAATGCTCTGTTCCTGTTTCCTGAGCTAAGTTTAAATCTTAGCGGCAAGGTTGTTGTTTCAGGAGCAACTGCCCTCCTGTTTGTTTGCTCATCAGCTTTCTCGTGTCCACTTAGACCCAGCACACCACGTGATGTTTCCTGCTGCCAGCCTTGTGTGTAATAAGATAAGTGGTAATGTGAGTCTCATCTTTTCCTTCCTAGAAGGAGTGGTACTGAGGTAACATCTGAACACATCTAGGTGGTGCTTTAGGAAAAGAGACAAAGAGCTGCCGGGATGTTTCTCCGATTGCTGTCCGATATCCAGTGGCGGGCAGCTCACCCGAAATGGAGGAGAATGACCGGCTCCCAGAGAAGCACCTCAACTACAGCAGAGCCTCACCCCGTGTCCCTGCCAGCGCAGGCACAGGTTGTCATCTGTGGTGGTGGAATCATGGGCACATCCGTGGCCTATCACCTTTCCAAGATGGGCTTTAAGGATATAGTCTTACTTGAGCAGGGCAGGTAAGGATTTCTGGCTAAAAACCCAACGAAGCGAGACTTCTGTGCAGAACAATATCTGCTGTAATGTGTTACTTCTGTCTCTTCACCTGAGCTGAAGACCTGGAAATAGCCTTTTCCCTGGGGGAAGTAAGTTGTACTGAACATGAATAACAACACTTACTGCCCCTTCCCAAGCTCTGCTGGGTGAAGAGTATCCCTTGTGTGATGGTGGTGGGGAAGCCGTGGCTCATGGCCAGACTCCCACGCAGCCATGCCATTTCCCTCTGCAAGACAGAGAGAAATTAAGCCAAGCGAACTTGTGGATCAGGATATGGAGATTGTACTGCCACGGGCAAAACAGACTTATCCTAGGGAGAATTAATCTAAAATAATGGCTTTATTTCATGACAGTTACAACATATTCAGGTAGTGAGAAACAAAAAGCAAGCATTAAAACGCCACCTCTTTTTTCCTCAACTTCACTCCTGCGCTCCAGGGTCTTCTACCTCCCCACAGTGCCCTGAGCAGCATGGGGGTGACACAGTGGGGAGTGATCAGTACTGGGCTCCAGTGAGTGTCCTGCATGTGCTGCCATTCCCATGAGGAGAACTCTACTCTGGTGTGGGTTTTCCATGCACCTCAGTTCCTTTGGGAGATACCTAGCTGCTCTGCTGTAATCACAGGTGATCATGTAAAACAATGCAGCTGGCAAAGATGATGGACCATTTTAAAAGAACTGAAAATCCATGTTACTCCTGCAGCCCCTGTTGACCTCTCAGAGCAGGATGCTGTGTGTGTCTAAAGCATTACACAGCCAGCAAAGCTCCAGAGATTGCAGGAGGTTATAAGCAGGCATCACTAAAACATCCCCCTGTAAGCTGGTTAAATGCTCAGATTATCCATTTGTTGGAGGATTTAGTGCCTCTCTGTAAAATAGCCAAGGCTGTTATGGTTTGGCTGAGCAAAAGTGCCCTCAGTGAGTTTGGTCAGCTCTCTGTAGCAGAGCACAGAGTTCCTGTTGAAAGCTGTGCATCCCAACATTTCCCCTGTTGTTTTAGATGTCCATTTCTGAGGGCCATTCGTGGTGTTTTCCTTAAGCAGTTTGGGGATCCTGGGCATGAAACACCACTAAGACTTTAGGGTTTGAAGAGGTGTTTATTGTAGCAGCTTCTAATGCCCTAAATAAGTTCTGGAATGTATATTTACCATCTGCTGTAGAGCTTCCCACCTGATACTGCCTTCAAGAATAATTAGCTGTGGTTCCTGGAGTTTGTGTGGCTGGGAAGCAGCAGGTTCTTTCTAGCTGCAAAGAAAAGAAATTGGGTATTCTCACCTGAGACCTTGTGAGTGGGGTCCTTCTGAGCCAAGTGGGGTGCTGGGCTGGGTTTGCAAGGGAATATAATTTTTGCTAGCTTGGAACAGGGTTTGAACAGCCCATTAAAGATCTGCAGTGAATCAAGATGCTGTGTAGGTTCAGTCTGTGCATGCTCAAGGAGAAGGAGGAATATTGCAGTAGCAGAAATGTCTTAAGAGGACCACAGCATGGTGAGACTGTGCTTTGGCTCTTTGGATTGTTGTTGAGTAGGGGTGTAGCAAATATTTTTTCAACTGAATCTTTGGTTAAATTACTGAGAGAATATGGACATGCTAGGCTGAAAGCAGTTGTGTCAAATGGAGAAATGCAGGATGGCTTCAGCAGTAGCAAAGGTAACTTGGAATTGTTGTAGAAGCAGGGCTGCAAAGGAGATGCTTAAATCTGATTGCCTTGTCTTCCCCTGTCCATGCTGCATGGAGTTGTGTAGGTTTCTGTCTCTAGAGCAGCTCTTCACCAGATAGCTCAATGGTTTAGGGACAGTTTTAGAAGAGACAAGAAACGTGTTCTTGTCTATTGCAGTTGTTACAGAGTGAGAGGGACTTGCTCATACTTCATCTTCAAAGATGTAAGACTCAAAGTTAATTTTGATTTGAGGGAAATCCAGCTTTGGAGAAGGAAAGAATCAGACAGCTCAAGTGTAAGATTTTAATTTTTTTTTACAAAAAGTGCTTTCTTTGAAAAATGTCAGTTTTTAGGACTTGTTAAAGAGAAATTATCTTGGAATGCAATGTGTTTTCAAAAGTGAGCAAAAGAAATATCATTCTAGAGGTTGTGTCAGCCCTGCATCATCCAACTTAGTGTTGTTCTGATGTGTTTGGGGGAGAAGTTGCTGTGTACTTTGTGCTGCCAGTGGAGCTGCTGGAGCAGCCTGGTGTGGAGCTGTATGACCATGGCCCTTTCCTGCACCTTCTCCTGCAGGTTGGCTGCTGGCACCACTCGCTTCTGTGCTGGCATTGTGAGCACAGCCAGGCCCGTGTCCATAGAGCTGAAGATGGCACACTATTCAAACAAGCTCTACCAGCAGCTGGAACAGGAGACAGGAGTGCAAACAGGTACTGAAAGTGTCATCATGGAGTAATCTTTGGGAAACTGAAGTACTGACACAGAAATATGTGTGAATAAGTAATAAAACCACACTGACTGTGGTTTTACAGTGTCTTAAGGCTTGAAAGTCCTGTTCAGAAACAATACATATGGACCTAATCAGATGCAAAGTGATGTCACTAGTGTAATCAGAATGGGGAGAAGAATATCAGATGGGCAAACTGAAGGCAGACTTCCTGCAAATTGTGACAGTTTGCATGTTGTCTGTAACTTGGGCAGACACGGGAGTTTTCACAAGGACGTGGAAAATATATTGCAGTGACTGGAGCAAATTGGCCTGTGCACTGATTCACTTCTCAAAAAGAAAATGTGGTTAACAGGAGCACTGAAGCATAGGCAAAGCTGTGTCTCTTACTGCAGTCTAGCCCTGGAAATAGCAAAAAAGATTATGTTGAAATTCTTCCTTTCCCTCCAACATGTCTGGGCATGTACCTGATAGGAAGAACTTGGTCACTGAAAGTTTTCTTTTGACAAGAACTTGTCATGTATGTCAGACAAATGAATACCTCAATAGAGGTTCATAACTATGCCTGCAATTAAGATGAGTACTAATTTAGTGCAGGTGTTGGAGTGATATGATACCTGCTTTTAGCTGTTGAAGTTTTATTCTTCTGAGTTGTTATTAGATAACTTTTAACTTCTCTCTCTTTTAATAACTACCATGTGTGAAATTCAGGGTTTTTTTATAAACAGGAGTATATGAAGCAGAAAGAGAACACAATTAAAAATTAAATTGCTTTTTTAAAAAAGGTTATTTCATGCACTTTTTAATTACTAGCTCATAAGTGTTTAAAGTTATTTGAGGATGTGGGATTTCCAGGCTCCTGAGTAGTGGGAGCAACAAGTCTGCAATTATATTAAAGCAGTGAGTCTGAGATGGAAAGGAATTGAAGATCCTGTCCAAATCTGACTTGACTTTGGTCATTGTCATAGGGTACATGAAGACAGGCTCTATTTCACTGGCTCAGACTCAGGACCGACTGATCTCTCTGAAGCGCATTGCTTCATCGCTGAAGTACGTATGAGCAGGAAATACAACTCGGCCTCAGTGTGCACCAGCTCTCCTGCAAGACAAATGACATGGTGTTTTTTATGTTCTGTGGCAGTGTAATGGGAATACCATGTGAAATTATCAGCCCAAAGAAAGTGCTACAGCTCCACCCACTCATCAACATCCATGACCTTGTGGGGGCCATGTATGTGCCAGAAGATGCACTCGTGTCGTCTGCCAATGTGAGCCTGGCTCTGGCAACTGCTGCCTCACGGAATGGTAGGAGCTTTTTTATCTACAGAGTGCTCTCCTGTGTGATAGCTGTGTTCTGCATCTCTTTTGATATTCTACCTGAGCACTGAAGACCAAAATTCTGTTATTTCTGTGAAGTTCAGATTCTTTAAACCTGTTTATTTCTGAAAAAGCAGGCTGATTTTT